TCCACACGGTATCTTTTTGTGTCCTTTGTGTCTATCCTTCTGTCCGTCCTTTTGTCCTTCCACGCTATATCTTGTTTGTGTCCAATATCCTACATTACTTCACTGGAACTTTATACTTGAGACATTGGTCAGCCAAGATGAGGCAGTATGTCATGCACCAAAAGTAGGTCACTAATCTGCACTTTGACTTTTGACCTACTTCAAAGAAGTTCTCCATTACCTATCACATGGGTCTACCTCAGCCAGAGGTGGTCTGTACGAAAATCAGAATATATGGTATCACAGGATGTGATAGTGAAATGACATGTCTTACCAGTACACATTTAGCAGATTATTTTGCAATACTATTAGCAACTCTGACTCCATTCTGATATTGAATACAATAAGTGTGTTTACATTTTTGATGAGTGTCTAGAATAAGTTGCTGAGCAAATACATTATTTGTGCCTTCTTATCATGTATGATTTCACACTCAGTGCAGGACTATAATTCACCACATTGTCTTGTGATAATTTATAAAATTTATCATGTGTTACACATATCTAAAATTGGAATAAAAGATCTGTGTCCATTAAGCTTTGTATATGTATGAATATGTAAGACATTAGAGTGTGAGGTTTCAGAATACAGAATGGTTTTTACAGAGCCCAGGGGTGAATAGTTTAATGGACGTGTATAAAACTTTCGGATTGTAGATTTCAAGGTCGCTGGTATTTCTGTTAGCTCACAGAAAAAGTCTGACAGCACCTGTCAGCTCTCTATATGATGTATTAATTACAATTCAGTGTTCGCTGATAGACCAAAAACCAGCTGCTCCATCCCCTAACAATTACCTACATCTGTATACAGTTTAAGTTTTGTATATACTCTCTGACAGTTCCAGCATGCATTATGGATATATACAGTATAAGTTTTGTATGTACTCTCTGACAGTTCCAGCATGCATTATGGATATATACAGTATAAGTTTTGTATGTACTCTCTGACAGTTCCAGCATGCATTATGGATATATACAGTATAAGTTTTGTATGTACTCTCTGACAGTTCCAGCAAGCATTATGGATATATACAGTATAAGTTTTGTATGTACTCTCTGACAGTATAAGTTTTGTATGTACTCTCTGACAGTTCCAGCATGCATTATGGATATATACAGTATAAGTTTTGTATGTACTCTCTGACAGTATAAGTTTTGTATGTACTCTCTGACAGTCCAGCATGCATTATGGATATATACAAGTTTTGATATGTACTCTCTGACAGTTATACAGTATAAGTTTTGTATGTACTCTCTCTCGGATATATACAGTATAAGTTTTGTATGTACTCTCTGACAGTATAAGTTTTGTATGTACTCTCTGACAGTTCCAGCATACATTATGGATATATACAGTATAAGTTTTGTATGTACTCTCTGACAGTATAAGTTTTGTATGTACTCTCTGACAGTATAAGTTTTGTATGTACTCTCTGACAGTATAAGTTTTGTATGTACTCTCTGACAGTTCCAGCATGCATTATGGATATATACAGTATAAGTTTTGTATGTACTCTCTGACAGTATAAGTTTTGTATGTACTCTCTGACAGTTCCAGCATTCTCTTTGCATTATGGATATATACAGTATAAGTTTTGTATGTACTCTCTGACTCTGCATTATGGATATATACAGTATAAGTTTTGTATGTACTCTCTGACAGTTCCAGCAAGCATTATGGATATATACAGTATAAGTTTTGTATGTACTCTCTGACAGTATAAGTTTTGATATATTTTACAGTTCCAGCATGCATTACTGGATATATACAGTATAAGTTTTGTATGTACTCTCTGACAGTTCCAGCATGCATTATGGATATATACAGTATAAGTTTTGTATGTACTCTCTGACAGTTCCAAGCATTATGGATATATGTACAGTATAAGTTTTGATGTACTCTCTGACAGTTACTCTCTGACATGCATTATGGATATATACAGTATAAGTTTTGTATGTACTCTCTGACAGTATAAGTTTTGTATGTACTCTCTGACAGTTCCAGCAAGCATTATGGATATATACAGTATAAGTTTTGTATGTACTCTCTGACAGTATAAGTTTTGTATGTACTCTCTGACAGTTCCAGCATGCATTATGGATATATACAGTATAAGTTTTGTATGTACTCTCTGACAGTTCCAGCATGCATTATGGATATATACAGTATAAGTTTTGTATGTACTCTCTGACAGTATAAGTTTTGTATGTACTCTCTGACAGTTCCAGCATGCATTATGGATATATACAGTATAAGTTTTGTATGTACTCTCTGACAGTTCCAGCATGCATTATGGATATATACAGTATAAGTTTTGTATGTACTCTCTGACAGTATAAGTTTTGTATGTACTCTCTGACAGTTCCAGCATGCATTATGGATATATACAGTATAAGTTTTGTATGTACTCTCTGACAGTTCCAGATATGCATTATGTTTTGATATATACAGTATAAGTTTTGTATGTACTCTCTGACAGTTCCAGCATGCATTATGGATATATACAGTATAAGTTTTGTATGTACTCTCTGACAGTTCCAGCATGCATTATGGATATATACAGTATAAGTTTTGTATGTACTCTCTGACAGTTCCAGCATGCATTATGGATATATACAGTATAAGTTTTGTATGTACTCTCTGACAGTATAAGTTTTGTATGTACTCTCTGACAGTTCCAGCATGCAAGCATTATGGATATATACAGTATGTTATATACAGTATAAGTTTTGTATGTACTCTCTGATATATACAGTATAAGTTTTGTATGTACTCTCTGACAGTTCCAGCATGCATTATGGATATATACAGTATAAGTTTTGTATGTACTCTCTGACAGTTCCAGCATGCATTATGGATATATACAGTATAAGTTTTGTATGTACTCTCTGACAGTTCCAGTTTTGTATGTATGCATTATGGATATATACTCCAGCATGCATTATGGATATAGAAGTTTTGTATGTACTCTCTCAGTTCCAGCATGCATTATGGATATATACTAGTATAAGTTTTGTATGTACTCTCTGACAGTTCCAGTTTTGTATGAACTATATACAGTATAAGTTTTGTATGTACTCTCTGACATATATCCGTAAGTTTTGAATGTCTGACATTATGGATATATACAGTACAAGTTTTGACTGATGTAGGCTCTGACAGTTTGGGCATGCAAACCTGTGATATATAAGTTCAACGCTTTTGCTGATGCAGCCATATTGGGATATTACTGTGCTACATGTGATTGAATTTTCGTAATACTATCATATAGTAGTACTATAGAATAGGTTATGTGTAGGGATGTCATCTAAACTCATAATCGGAGGACAAATGTAAAGGAAAAAAATAGCTACCTGAGACTTGATATAGATACGTTGTTCAAAAACAAAAATTGACTGTGATGCGTAATTGCGTCTTTTTCGAATAGTCAATTTGTTTCATACTTATTATCATTGCCAGAGAATATATTACTTCACATATTACTCTCTGGCCTATCAACTAGACAAATTAAGAACAAGAACAATATAAAAGTCAGCATGTTCTATAAAAAGGATACTGGATTATATGGCTATATATAGTGTTGATCATTAAAAGGCTTAATGTATAGAAACATGTATTGATTTGACATACCTGCTTACTGTGTAATTATTTCATCACATTATAATTGATAAGATCACTCTTCACCGAGTACATGTATTATGTTCAATCAAAGTTAGTGTAGAATTAACGTATTCTATGCATAATCATTATTTGTATAATTTACATTATTTTTCATTTTAATTGCATGTTTTTCATATTATATTTGTATGCTCTTCATATTTGGAGGAAATAAAGACAATAGTAGTCAGTGATCATAAGCTGGTCTTGAGTATAAACTATACACCATGTTGCAACCAATATCAGATGCAATAAATACACTGTGAAAGAGGAATTCATTCTGTGAAAAATTCACTGATAAGTATTCTGAAATATTGTTAGTTCTGTCAATCGATTGATTTGTGTTATATATATATATATATATTTGTATCAATAACCAGGTATGTGGTTTTTGTTGATGAATGTGCTCTGCCTATGCACAAAAATTTAGGATAGAATTGGGAGATGGCTATTTATAAAAGTTTCCTAGACACTGCCAAAACTCTTAGTCAGGTTCAAAGTCAAACAGATAATTCTACTCAAAGATCCTTTTATTCTGAAGTATTTCTGCAGTAACTGCCAAAACTTGAATGTAAATATGTAATATTCCTCCTCAGATAATTAAGGCTGTTGTCTATTTTGTGTATTTCTTGGTCTTTCATTGATTGTTAGAGCTGTGGGGTTAAACACCTTGTGAACAGCTAGAGTAGATTTTAAGACAGTGGCACTCATATTAGCTGGTGGTTTCCTTACTGAACATGTTATGGGAGGTCACACACCATCCAAAATAGTAAAGTGTCAGACCCCACTGTCAAGGCCAGGACTAATTCTGTAAGGGACTGAGCTTTGCCTTCCCTTCTCTGTTAGAGAGTGACTTATACCAGTTAATGTTATGCAAGAAGTGATTTAGTTACCATTGAGGAGACCTCACCTTAAAATGACCCCTCACCTCAAAATGACCCCTCACCTTAAAATGACCCCTCACCTCAAAATGACCTCTCACCCCAAATGACCCCTCACCTTAAAATGCCCTCTCACCTCAAAATGACCCCTCACCTTAAAATGACCCCTCACCTCAAAATGACCCCTCACCTTAAAATGACCCCTCACCTCAAAATGACCCCTCACTTTAAAATGCCCTCTCGCCTCAAAATGACCCTTGCTGTTCATAGGGCAAGAAATTAAACCCAGTAAATGGACAAATAAGAGTAATTTTTCACAAGGTTGTGCAAACTTCAAGATACAGCATATGTAAAGTTTATATAATAAATGTTTGGAAATTAGTTTGATATAAATAGGTAATGGATTCTTTTTCTGCTCTTCAGGCGAAGTTGCGTTGTTCTATCCAATGGATTCTGAATAAGGCTTACCAAGATAGCAGGCCAAAGGAATTCCAGGAACCTTTCTACACTACACCAGAGGTATGGATATGTTAAAGTGTTTCAGTGTCCTGTTCTGTATATATAGATATATATATATATTTCTACACTACACCAGAGGTATGGATATGTTAAAGTGTTTCAGTGTCCTGTTCTGTATATATATATATATATATATATATTTCTACACTACACCAGAGGTATGGATATGTTAAAGTGTTTCAGTGTCCTGTTCTGTATATATAGATATATATATATATTTCTACACTACACCAGAGGTTTGGGTATGTTAAAGTGTTTCAGTGTCCTGTTCTGTATATATAGATATATATATATATTTCTACACTACACCAGAGGTATGGATATGTTAAAGTGTTTCAGTGTCCTGTTCTGTATATATAGATATATATATATATTTCTACACTACACCAGAGGTTTGGGTATGTTAAAGTGTTTCAGTGTCCTGTTCTGTATATATATATATATATATATATATATATTTCTACACTACACCAGAGGTATGGATATGTTAAAGTGTTTCAGTGTCCTGTTCTGTATATATAGATATATATATATATTTCTACACTACACCAGAGGTATGGATATGTTAAAGTGTTTCAGTGTCCTTGTGGTCAATCTGATCCACCTCACTATTAAGACCACCTTTCTATTAAGACCACCTCCCCAAAGTGGTCTTAATAGCGAGGTTTCACTGTATATGTATATATATATTTATGTTTATTTCTATGGTATAGAGATAGAGTAAGTTAAACATGAATGATGAAGTGTTCACCATACAGGTAATGTTGTACATGCTAGTACACATTAAAAATAAATGTATAAAAATATTATAATATTGTATGATTGAAATACCAATTGACAGGAAAACAAGAATTGAGGTATTTGTTGTTATTGACAGGGGTCCATACATGTGAAGCCACGCCTTGCCAATCTGATGACAACCAGTGAGATTTATTGTCAAGCATGTTCTAATATGTTTGGTGATTCAACTTCACAATGGAAAGGTAATTACAAGATAAGTGTATTAACTGTTTTGACTCCACGATGAACAGGAAATGTATCACTATGGAGTTAACTCCGTGGTGAACAGGAAATGTACCACTGTGGAGTTAACTCCGCGGTGAACAGGAAATGTACCACTGTGGAGTTAACTCCGCGATGAACAGGAAATGTACCACTGTGGAGTTAACTCCGCGATGAACAGGAAATGTACCACTGTGGAGTTAACTCCACGGTGAACAGGAAATGTACCACTGTGGAGTTAACTCCGTGGTGAACAGGAAATGTACCACTGTGGAGTTAACTCCGCGGTGAACAGGAAATGTACGACTGTGGAGTTAACTCCGCGATGAACAGGAAATGTACCACTGTGGAGTTAACTCCGCGGTGAACAGGAAATGTACCACTGTCGAGTTAAGTGTCTGTATTTTGACCTGATATGGGAAAGTTTTGCCATTTTAATAATATAAAGCTCAAAAATATTCATTTAAGCATTTTTCCAGTTTGTTTTCCTGTAACAATTCACTGCTGAAAGATGCTTTCAACAAGGGTCTAATAGTTACCATTTACAAGATGTTACTAGGGTCTAATAGTTACCATTTACAAGATGTTACTAGGGTCTAATAGTTACCATTTACAAGATGTTACTAGGGTCTAATAGTTACCATTTACAAGATGTTACTAGGGTCTAATAGTTACCATTTACAAGATGTTACTAGGGTCTAATAGTTACCATTTACCTAAGTTGTTACTAGGGTCTAATAGTTACCATTTACAAGATGTTACTAGGGTCTAATAGTTACCATTTACAAGATGTTACTAGGGTCTAATAGTTACCATTTACAAGATGTTACTAGGGTCTAATAGTTACCATTTACAAGATGTTACTAGGGTCTAATAGTTACCATTTACAAGATGTTACTAGGGTCTAATAGTTACCATTTACAAGATGTTACTAGGGTCTAATAGTTACCATTTACAAGATGTTACTAGGGTCTAATAGTTACCATTTACAAGATGTTACTAGGGTCTAATAGTTACCATTTACAAGATGTTACTAGGGTCTAATAGTTACCATTTACAAGATGTTACTAGGGTCTAATAGTTACCATTTACAAGATGTTACTAGGGTGTAATAGAGTTACTATTTACCTAAGTTGTTACTAGGGTCTAATAGTTACCATTTACAAGATGTTACTAGGGTGTAATAGAGTTACTATTTACCTAAGTTGTTACTAGGGTCTAATAGTTACCATTTACAAGATGTTACTAGGGTGTAATAGAGTTACTATTTACCTAAGTTGTTACTAGGGTGTAATAGAGTTACTATTTACCTAAGTTGTTACTAGGGTGTAATAGAGTTACTATTTACCTAAGTTGTTACTAGGGTCTAATAGAGTTACTATTTACTTATGTTGTTACTAGGGTCTAATAGAGTTACTATTTACTTATGTTGTTACTAGGGTGTAATAGAGTTACTATTTACTAAGTTGTTACTAGGGTGTAATAGACATAAACAACTTCATAATGATAGGTAAATAACTGTCTATTTGTATTACAGGACACTGGAGTATAATACAAGTACTGAGCAGAAAAGGGATCTATGTCGGAGAGAATGATGATACTGAAGTCACAGAGACAATCCTGATGAAAAACGCTCCATTTCAGACTGTAAGTATTGTTGTAGGTCACAGATAATGATAAATTTTGTCACAATGACTGAACAAGTATTTCTGTAGGTCACAGATAATGTTAAATTTTGTCACAATGACTGAACAAGTATTGTTGTAGGTCACAGATAATGTTGTTTATTTTGTCACAAAGACTGAAATATTGTTGAAGGTCACAGATAATGTTTATTTTGTCACAATGACTGAACAAGTATTTCTGTAGGTCACAGATAATGTTGTTTATTTTGTCACAATGACTGAACAAGTATTTCTGTAGGTCACAGATAATGTTGTTTATTTTGTCACAATGACTGAACAAGTATTGCTGTAGGTCACAGATAATGTTGTTTATTTTGTCACTATGACTGAAATATTGTTGAAGGTCACAGATGATATTGAATTTGTCACAATGACTGAACAAGTATTGCTGTAGGTCACAGATAATGTTGTTTATTTTGTCACAATGACTGAAATATTGTTGAATGTCACAGATAATATTGAATTTTGTCACAATGACTGTGCATTGCTTTTTGGCAATAAAAATTGTAGAAAATATGATCAAATTGGAATAAAATTGAGGTCTCGAGTACACAAAAATTATTGAGAATAATGTACTAAAATATGATAATTTCAATAATTGGAGGAGTCATTGTTGTGGAAGCAACAGAAAATGCTCAGAATATGTTACTGTTTAATTTGTATATTGTGATTTCAGAATGCCCACCTGTCCTTAATAGATGCCCTTTTGATGGCCTACATCAGTGAAGTTGTCAGTGTAGAGAGGATTGTACAGGCTGTCAGGTGAGACAGAAACATTTCACTGATATACACATTACCACTGCAGAAAGTCAAGTAGATATGATACATTATACAGTTATTGACTTGGATTGCGGGCAATAGATGATCTGTTGTCCGAAACCCAAGCCAATAACTGTTTTGTTATATCCTTCACAAAGATGACGTATTTTCTCCTCCGATGCCAGACCGAATCTGTCTGTGTCAATAGGCCTACTGGTTGCCATTTTGTTGTGCAGACGATAAGAGAAGATAACTCTAATGTAAACAAAACATCGTTATCACTCGGACGTTCTCGTATGTTTCCGTAAAGCGGTCAACAATCGTGGTCAACAGTCAATTTTAACAGTCCATTTGGACCGGTGAACAAAACAGTTAAACTTTTGACATTTCTTTCTCTATATAAGTATGTAGGAACTGAATCTACAGGGTAGAACAAAATCTTTTATTGAAGTTGACATAGCATTGAAACTGAAACTACAATAGATGTATTTGGTCGTTTTTCACCAGATATAGGTTGATTGAATAAATCCTTTCTGCGAGGATCTTTAGTTCCTTTACATTAAATAAGCTATGTTTAAATCCATAAATGTTTAACATAATTAACATATCTCTTTTAATCTTAACTTTTAAAACCTCGATATACACATCATTTGGCACGAGATTCAGAAAGTTTCTCTGAGAAAACTTCCTCTCGATAATAATGAAAACATAACATTAAAACATTAAATTTATTAAGAATTACTTTGCAGGGATATCAAAACAGATCAAAATTAATAAAAGTAGGTCCCTGCGAAGGGGGTTCTACTGAAAATACAAAACAAGTGTTATGCAAAGTTCAGAGTTTATTTTAAAGGTAGAATGAATGTAGTGTATAGTCATTAAAGGCATTACTGTGTAGTCTGAATAGGACGTATACATGTGTATGTCTAAAGGATTTTCAGACTTCAATTCAGCAACGATCACAAATGAGGGCAAAATCACAAAAGTAGAATTTCAACAACTTTCATTTTAATACAAACACGTCACCTTGTTTTTTTCTCAGAGAAGTTAATTTTTACTATCTGTATTTATAAATATTCTGTTTGATTTTCAGTGAAAGTTGCATATATTAGGGCTTCAACATCATTTTTGAATATTTCAGGAAATATACGACATTCAATGCATCCAGTGAGCTTCCCAATGATGCATATGATGCTCTTGTGTTCTGGACGAATAAGATTTGTGTAGCTGTGCAGCTTATCCTGGACAAAAAGGCCAAAGGGCAGGCTGACCAAATCATCCAGGGCGAGTCCCAACAGAGGGTATGGAATTTTGTTGTCTGTAGTATAGTAAGCTTTTATATTTGTTTGTAACATATAAACTAGTAATGTCTTATGGTTATGGCTAACGGTTGATCACAGGGATAAAATTTTGTGGTTTTTCAGAAATTTAGAATTTTGTTGGCACTTGATTTTTAAAATGTGCAATAAACAGAAAAATCAACTAATACTGAAATTCATATCAATTTTTATGTGTTTTCTCGGACATACGGCATCTCGGACATACGGCATTTGTTAAGAATACTTATGAAATCAACAGAAATGAAAACAACCACGATGATTTTACAGTTGTAGCTTCACCAAGGGTACTGAATTAATATTGCATTTGACATTACAAATTTATTTGTTAATAACATACAAATTAAAAAAAATGTCACAAAAAGTTTTAGCATTTGAGTACCTGACCACAGAAAAAAACATGCTGAGCACTTGTATTCATTTAAATATGCCACCCCATCCCACTGGTATATAATTATTAGTATAAAACTCAAGATGTAAACATTCAGTTTTTGATTTTTGCCACAAACGAATTCAATGATCAGTTGGGACACAAATGAATTGTTTCAAAATTTAATAGTTAAGTTCTAATCTTTAATAAATTGATTTTGTGAGTCAACTTTTGTTCTAAAGTTATGGGATATCAAGTTGTTTTGATGTTCCAACCTGTGTAGTTGAAGTACTTAAGTCCACTGTATCAATAATGTCAGATTCCACTGCAGCTGGGAAGACTTAAGATCAATCAAAAACTACTTTTACAATGCAGAAATTTTATGGCTAATCAATGACAAAATAGAAATAGACAATTTACTATCCTATCATGCCTTCTTCCCACATGTGTTGAAGAAGATTGTTTAGTTGCACAAAAATAGCTTTTGTAAGTATTTTTTATTTTTAAAATACTGCATCTGGGCCCATATTCATGAAACCATGCTCATACTCAAGCATAGATTTTGTGCTCAAGCAAACTTTTTTTATAATTCACATAAATCATATAAAATAATACAAATGTTAAATATAAACATTGAATATAACTTTGACTTGAAGTCCTTTCAAAATTATTTTTTAATCTTTGGCAAAATCAGCCTTATTTATTAATTTTAGCTTAAACAAAACATAAGGCTTGAACACAAAATTCATGCTTGAGCATGCAAATGGTTTCATGAATACTGGTCCTGATGTCATCTCTGAAAAGTTGATCATGATCTAAAATCTTGTAAGGAAGTAAATATTTTGATGTTTTTTACGATAGGTACGAATTGTGAGCAAGTCTACGCCGAGAGAGTCTGTGACTGTGCCTGTGATGGAAGATTTCCTCAGCGATGTAGGGGATGGCTGTTCTCTAGCCACACTCATCAGCTTCTACTGTCCCACAGCACTTAAGTTTGATGGTAATTCATTTTTACAAGTGATACAGAATATTCTGCTTAAAGAAAAAAATTGACCAATCAGAGAGCATTTATATGTAAACAAACCAATCAGAGAGCAGCAATACTGAAAAAACTGACCAATCAGAGATCATTTATGTAAACGGACCAGTCATAGAGCAGCAATACTGAAAAAACTGACCAATCAGAGATCATTTATGTAAACTAACCAGTCATAGAGCAGCAATACTGAAAAAAACTGACCAATCAGAAATCATTTATGTAAACTAACCAGTCATAGAGCAGCAATATTGAAAAACTGACCAATCAGAGATCATTTATGTAAACTAACCAGTCATAGAGCAGCAATACTGAAAACACTGACCAATCAGAGATCATTTATGTAAACTAACCAGTCATAGAGCAGCAATACTGCTGAAAACTTGCGTAAGTTGTCTTTTCTGTTGTTAAAATATATCTTTTGACTTAGTATGTAGTTTTATATTGAGTAACATATCTGTTTATATAACTTCCTTATTTTTCCTCTGATGAGCTTAAGGGGGCAGTACACAAATTCTAACTTTATATACAACCAAAACACATGAAAGAGTTGACCTGTTTATTACATACAGAGGCAAAGTGTGGATAACACATATTGCAACACTTAAATATATAAACTACTCATTGGTGTATCAGGGGCTACTCACTCAAACACTAAACTAATAAACATAATTAAATCTGCAAAGTTGCCTCCTTAGCTTATTGAAGGAGGCCAGGAAAGAAAGAAAACTTGATTGAAACGTAGGCCATGTAGCTCTTGAGTGATACAACATAACTGAAGGCTGAGTAGAACAAAAACTTGACTCCTGAGCGATTCAGGATAGACTAAGTTAGATCTCCTGAGCGATTCTGGAGAAGATGGTCAAGGAAATCTTAAGCGATTCAAGATAGACCAAGTAAGACCTCCAGAGTGATTCTGGAGACGTATTGTCCACTGCCCCTAGGTCTTGAGCGATACAAGATAGTGCAGTATGCAGCCAGTCTTGACTCCTAAGCGATTTAAGAGCCACAAGACCTGCTGTTGGGCGATTCAAGAGAGGACAAGTAAGAGAAACTTAACTGATTAACAATGTAAGAGAATTAGACAAACATGAACAATTTATCAACAAAATAAAGCTAACAAAAGTATTTGGGGTAAAACTCTTGGAAGAATTTCCACCTTTCCACTGGTACAAAATGATTATTGAAGTACAAAAATATAAACGAAATTGATACAAAACTGGATACTACAGAAAGTAAAAGGTGTCGCTGGGGAGGTGGATAGGTAAGCGAAAACAAAGTACACAAACACCCTCCAGAACTTAATGGCTGAAGGGGAGCTGATACTACAGAAAGTAAAAGGTGTCGCTGGGGAGGTGGATAGGTAAGCGAAAACAAAGTACACAAACACCCTCCAGAACTTAATGGCTGAAGGGTAGCTGATACTACAGAAAGTAAAAGGTGTCGCTGGGGAGGTGGATAGGTAAGCGAAAACAAAGTACACAAACACCCTCCAGAACTTAATGGCTGAAGGGGAGCTGATACTACAGAAAGTAAAAGGTGTCGCTGGGGAGGTGGATAGGTAAGCAAAAACAAAGTACACAAACACCCTCCAGAACTTAATGGCTGAAGGGGAGCTGATACTACAGAAAGTAAAAGGTGTCGCTGGGGAGGTGGATAGGTAAGCAAAAACAAAGTACACAAATACCCTCCAGAACTTAATGGCTGAAGGGGAGCTGATACTACAGAAAGTAAAAGGTGTCGCTGGGGAGGTGGATAGGTAAGCAAAAACAAAGTATACAAACACCCTCCAGAACTTAATGGCTGAAGGGGAGCTGACAATAAAACATATCCTTCTAGGGGATAATGCTGATTGGTTAAAATCCCTATCTTATTTGCATAAATGCATGGGAGTAGAGAACATGGATGCAGGAATTACCATACATAAACAAACTTGAAAAAGCTAGCAAGTAGTAAGGTAAACAAAATATTAAAGCATAACAAACATTTACGTGAATACACAAATATATACCTGGAGCACGCTGCTGAATGAGCTGTTGTATATAAACTATAATGTAACATTAATGTACCAGCTTGTGTTAGAACAAAGTAATAACATTTCTAATTTTATGGAAGAGCAATTTATATGTCTAGGACTATTATCAGGTATCAAAACCAGATAAATATGATGATTAAAAGAATATTGTTTTATCATTAAATCAAACAAATTGTATTTACAGATATTTGTTTGAAGTCCAGCATTGGGATAGCTGACTCGTTATACAACTTACAGCTGGTCAAGACTTTCTGTGATACATATATACCGGGCCGATGTTTCCTGCTGACCTACGAAGACTTCCTGTACACCAGTGACCGTCTCAAACAGAATCTGTATGTGATGCTAGCAGAGCTTTTTTATTGGCTGGAGGTGCAGCAGCTAGACTGTGTAGCAAAGTGTCCAGGGGACTCCCTCAAAGGAGAAGGTATGTTTTTAAAATGTCACCAACACCAGTCTAATAGCTGTTAGAGGTTCCCTCCCACTGTCCTGGTGAAATATTTCGAGTACCTCTAAACATGGTTTTCTCTAATCTGATATCAACAGAAAAGTATTACAGTTCTTGGTATGAGGCCACTCTCACAATAAAGACTTGTACACTTTTATGATACTGTTCTGACTTCTTATCCAAATGATGTTTGAATTTCAGTATTCAACCTACATGGAGATTAGGGAACAATTTTCAGAATTGTATGAACCACAAGTTGAACTACTTTTTCATTCATTCTTTTAAGGAAAAGATTATGGTTATTTTCATTCACTTGGTTCCAGTGATAAGCCCATGCTGATCTTTCCTATTCCCTCATTGAATAATTATTAAATCTTTCTGGTGAAATCCAAATCCACTGTCCCTACCCGTCACTTCTTTAAAATGTAAATTAGTTAAGATGTCATTGGTTTCATTATTGTTTATTTGATGCAGAAAAGGGTTTATTCAGGATAAGTTGTAAGTAATGCATCAGTAAACAGGATATTGAAGAAGGGAGATTGAAATACGTTGATGTATTTTACAGTGCTGAGACCTTCCACAGCTAAGATGTTGAGTAGTGCGGGTATATCTAACCTTCCCATCAGTAATGTCACCAAACAGAGTTTCCAGAAATCACCATCAGATGATATAGGAGTGGGAATAATAGGGTCAGGGGTCGGCGTTCCTCCACGTCAACCTCTCCTCCACAAACGACTCCAACAACAGCCTCATTATGGCAGCGGTCCTATAGAAACTGATTCCGCCCATGGTAAGTCATACTGGTTTTATTGTAACCCCACTCCCTCTCCACTAGTTTTATTGTAACCCTACCCATCCCCCACCAGCTGTTTTATTGTAACCCTACCCATCCCCCACCAGTTTTATTGTAACCCTACCCATCCCCCACCAGCTGTTTTATTGTAACCCTACCCATCCCCCACCAGCTGTTTTATTGTAACCCTGCCCATCCCCCACCAGTTTCATTGTAACCCTACCCATCCCCCACCAGTTTTATTGTAACCCATCCCCCACCAGTTTTATTGTAACCCTACCCATCCCCACCAGCTGTTTTATTGTAACACTACCCATCCCCCACCAGCTGTTTTATTGTAACCCTACCCATCCCCCACCAGCTGTTTTATTGTAACCCTACCCATCCCCCACCAGCTGTTTTATTGTAACCCTACCCATCCCCCACCAGCTGTTTTATTGTAACCCTACCCATCCCCCACCAGTTTTATTGTAACCCTACCCATCCCCCACCAGCTGTTTTATTGTAACCCTGCCCATCCCCCACCAGTTTCATTGTAACCCTACCCATCCCCCACCAGCTGTTTTATTGTAACACTACCCATCCACCACCCTACCCATCCCCCACCAGCTGTTTTATTGTAACCTTACCCATCCCCCACCAGTTTTATTGTAACCCTACCCATCCCCCACCAGCTGTTTTATTGTAACACTAACCATCCCCCACCAGCTGTTTTATTGTAACCCTACCCATCCCCCACCAGCTGTTTTATTGTAACCCTACCCATCCCCCACCAGCTGTTTTATTGTAACCCTACCCATCCCCCACCAGTTTTATTGTAACCCTACCCATCCCCCACCAGTTTTATTGTAACCCTGCCCATCCCCCACCAGTTTTATTGTAACACTACCCATCCCCACCAGTTTTATTGTAACCCTACCCATCCCCCACCAGTTTCATTGTAACCCTACCCATCCCCCACCAGCTGTTTTATTGTAACCCTACCCATCCCCCACCAGCTGTTTTATTGTAACACTACCCATCCCCCACCAGCTGTTTTATTGTAACCCTACCCATCCCCCACCAGCTGTTTTATTTTAACACTACCCATCCCCCACCAGCTGTTTTATTGTAACCCTGCCCATCCCCCACCAGTTTCATTGTAACCCTACCCATCCCCCACCAGCTGTTTTATTGTAACCCTACCCATCCCCCACCAGCTGTTTTATTGTAACCCTACCCATCCCCCACCAGCTGTTTTATTGTAACCCTACCCATCCCCCACCAGCTGTTTTATTGTAACCCTACCCATCCCCCACCAGCTGTTTTATTGTAACCCTACCCATCCCCCACCAGCTGTTTTATTGTAACCCTACCCATCCCCCACCAGCTGTTTTATTGTAACCCTACCCATCCCCCACCAGCTGTTTTATTGTAACCCTACCCATCCCCCACCAGCTGTTTTATTGTAACCCTACCCATCCCCCACCAGCTGTTTTATTGTAACCCTACCCATCCCCCACCAGCTGTTTTATTGTAACCCTACCCATCCCCCACCAGCTGTTTTATTGTAACCCTACCCATCCCCCACCAGCTGTTTTATTGTAACCCTACCCATCCCCCACCAGCTGTTTTATTGTAACCCTACCCATCCCCCACCAGCTGTTTTATTGTAACCCTACCCATCCCCCACCAGCTGTTTTATTGTAACCCTACCCATCCCCCACCAGCTGTTTTATTGTAACCCTACCCATCCCCCACCAGCTGTTTTATTGTAACACTACCCATCCCCCACCAGTTTTATTGTAACCCTACCCATCCCCCACCAGTTTTATTGTAAACCTACCCATCCCCACCAGCTGTTTTATTGTAACCCTACCCATCCCCCACCAGCTGTTTTATTGTAATCCTTCCCATCCCCGTCCAGTTGTTTTATTGTAACCCTACCCATCCCCCACCAGCTGTTTTATTGTAACCCTACCCATCCCCCACCAGCTGTTTTATTGTAACCCTACCCATCCCCCACCAGCTGTTTTATTGTAACCCTACCCATCCCCCACCAGCTGTTTTATTGTAACCCTACCCATCCCCCACCAGCTGTTTTATTGTAACCCTACCCATCCCCCACCAGCTGTTTTATTGTAACCCTACCCATCCCCCACCAGCTGTTTTATTGTAACACTACCCATCCCCCACCAGCTGTTTTATTGTAACACTACCCATCCCCCACCAGCTGTTTTATTGTAACCCTACCCATCCCCCACCAGCTGTTTTATTGTAACACTACCCATCCCCCACCAGCTGTTTTATTGTAACCCTACCCATCCCCCACCAGCTGTTTTATTGTAACCCTACCCATCCCCCACCAGCTGTTTTATTGTAACCCTACCCATCCCCCACCAGCTGTTTTATTGTAACCCTACCCATCCCCCACCAGCTGTTTTATTGTAACCCTACCCATCCCCCACCAGCTGTTTTATTGTAACCCTACCCATCCCCCACCAGCTGTTTTATTGTAACCTACCCATCCCCCACCAGCTGTTTTATTGTAACCCTACCCATCCCCCACCAGCTGTTTTATTGTAACCCTACCCATCCCCCACCAGCTGTTTTATTGTAACCCTACCCCTCCCCCACCAGCTGTTTTATTGTAACCCTACCCATCCCCCACCAGCTGTTTTATTGTAACCCTACCCATCCCCCACCAGCTGTTTTATTGTATCTCTTACCCATCCCCCACCAGCTGTTTTATTGTAACCCTACCCATCCCCCACCAGCTGTTTTATTGTAACCCTACCCATCCCCCACCAGCTGTTTTATTGTAACCCTACCCATCCCCCACCAGCTGTTTTATTGTAACCCTACCCATCCCCCACCAGCTGTTTTATTGGACCTCTACCCATCCCCCACCAGCTGTTTTATTGTAACCCTACCCATCCCCCACCAGCTGTTTTATTGTAACACTACCCATCCCCCACCAGCTGTTTTATTGTAACCCTACCCATCCCCCACCAGCTGTTTTATTGTAACCCTACCCATCCCCCACCAGCTGTTTTATTGTAACACTAACCATCCCCCACCAGTTGTTTTATTGTAACCCTACCCATCCCCCACCAGCTGTTTTATTGTAACCCTACCCATCCCCCACCAGCTGTTTTATTGTAACCCTACCCATCCCCCACCAGTTTTATTGTAACCCTACCCATCCTCCACCAGCTGTTTTATTGTAACCCTACCCATCCCCCACCAGCTTTTTTATTGTAACCCTACCCATCCCCCACCAGCTGTTTTATTGTAAACTACCCATCCCCCACCATCCCCCACCAGCTGTTTTATTGTAACCCTACCCATCCCCCACCAGTTTTATTGTAACCCTACCCATCCCCCACCAGCTGTTTTATTGTAACCCTACCCATCCCCCACCAGCTGTTTTATTGTAACCCTACCCATCCCCCACCAGCTGTTTTATTGTAACCCTACCCATCCCCCACCAGCTGTTTTATTGTAACCCTACCCATCCCCCACCAGCTGTTTTATTGTAACCCTACCCATCCCCCACCAGCTGTTTTATTGTAACCCTACCCATCCCCCACCAGCTGTTTTATTGTAACCCTACCCATCCCCCACCAGCTGTTTTATTGTAACCCTACCCATCCCCCACCAGCTGTTTTATTGTAACACTACCCATCCCCCACCAGCTGTTTTATTGTAACACTACCCATCCCCCCACCAGCTGTTTTATTGTAACCCTACCCATCCCCCACCAGCTGTTTTATTGTAACCCTACCCATCCCCCACCAGCTGTTTTATTGTAACCCTACCCATCCCCCCCAGCTGTTTTATTGTAACCCTACCCATCCCCCACCAGCTGTTTTATTGTAACCCTACCCATCCCCCACCAGCTGTTTTATTGTAACCCTACCCATCCCCCACCAGCTGTTTTATTGTAACCCTACCCATCCCCCACCAGCTGTTTTATTGTAACCCTACCCATCCCCCACCAGCTGTTTTATTGTAACCCTACCCATCCCCCACCAGCTGTTTTATTGTAACCCTACCCATCCCCCACCAGCTGTTTTATTGTAACCCTACCCATCCCCCACCAACTGTTTTATTGTAACACTACCCATCCCCCACCAGCTGTTTTATTGTAACCCTGCCCATCCCCCACCAGTTTCATTGTAACCCTACCCATCCCCCACCAGTTTTATTGTAACCCTACCCATCCCCCACCAGCTGTTTTATTGTAACCCTACCCATCCCCCACCAGCTGTTTTATTGTAACCCTACCCATCCCCCACCAGCTGTTTTATTGTAACCCTACCCATCCCCCACCAGCTGTTTTATTGTAACCCTACCCATCCCCCACCAGCTGTTTTATTGTAACCCTACCCATCCCCCACCAGCTGTTTTATTGTAACCCTACCCATCCCCCACCAGCAGTTTTATTGTAACCCTACCCATCCCCCACACTACCCATCCCCCACCAGCTGTTTTATTGTAACCCTACCCATCCCCCACCAGCTGTTTTATTGTAACCCTACCCATCCCCCACCAGCTGTTTTATTGTAACCCTACCCATCCCCCACCAGCTGTTTTATTGTAACCCTACCCATCCCCCACCAGCTGTTTTATTGTAACCCTACCCATCCCCCACCAGCTGTTTTATTGTAACCCTACCCATCCCCCACCAGCTGTTTTATTGTAACACTACCCATCCCCCACCAGCTGTTTTATTGTAACCCATCTCCACTACTTGTAACCTCCATCAGTCTGGAGTATGTATGTCTAAGGTTGGGTTGGTGTGTGGGCTGAGATACGGTGGGGTGGAGTTGAGGGATGGATTGCTTGACTGACTTCTAGTAATCAAACTACATCTCTTGACAACAAGTTATGGATGAAATGTCTCTATCATTGCTTTAATTTTAATATATTATTTATGTTTTATAGATGCTCAGATAAAACAGGAGCCAAAACCAGTACGACGTTCCCAGTCACTTAGTGGACAAGAGGAGAGAGACACGATCCGTCAGTCTGTTATAGCTTGGCAGGACACTCACCATCCTCAAAGGTAATTATCTATATACAAGGAACATGAAGAAAGCGAAAGTGAAGTACATATTTAGTAAACTATAAATAGAAAGTGAAAGTACGCATTTAGTAAAGTTCAAGTAGAAAATAAAATATATTCGAAATGCACGGTACATCTAATGAAATACATGTAAAAGTGAAAGTACATAGTTAGTAAACTATAAATAGAAAGTGAAAGTACATCATTAAAATACATGTAGAAAACTTAAGCAAGTATTCTGTGAACTACATGATTTATGTAAATAAAGAGACGTCGAGGAAATATATATAAAAAAGTGAAAATATGTGGAATAGATTACATTTAAGATCAAACTCTATTGACTAAATATAAGTTTTCTTCTTTTGCAAATTATAATTTGGGAAACTGACTTTTACATGAAAATCCACATTTTTTGACATGATCTGTAGAGAGAATAAATTTTGATCAGGTTGCAGAATGTTGAGTTGTAAATTGTTTTTGAATTATTCTTATTCAGTGAATGCATATTTACAGTATTACCCCAGGTATATTGAAAAGTAAACCATGAACTAGGATAAACCAGGAATAGAAATGACATAACCTGAACAACTATGATAACCTTTATATACACTACAGACTGTACAGTTATTCACATGTGAGAATTCTGTTCGTTGTGCTCGTGTGGCTAATCAATTTTAAACAACAGGAATAGGGCCTACCTTGGTTTATATGTAATTTGATCACAAAACAACAAAAACAATGGAATGAATTCATTTCATTCATCTGGTTCTAATTCCACCATAACTGTGGTTGGGTAAAAATGTACACACACATAAAATTGATGAGTACAATTAACATTACTGAAATCCGTTCGCAAACATTTGTGTGCAGATTGCGAGTTTTCAGGACTATCGGCCACCAGACTATCTAGGGTCCACTGTACTATGTTGTCTTGTAATAAGCCCACCCTATAGCTTTGAGTCAGCGGTGATGTTGGTCCCCGGGGCTTATTGTCTTGTAATAAGCCCACCCTATGGCTTTGAGTCAGCGGTGATGTTGGTCCCCGGGGCTTATTGTTTGTAATAAGCTCACCCTATGACTTTGAGTCAGTGGTGATGTTGGTCCCCGGGGCTTATTGTCTTGTAATAAGCCCACCCTATGACTTTGAGTCAGCGGTGATGTTGGTCCGCGGGGCTTATTGTCTTGTAATAAGCTCACCCTATGGCTTTGAGTCAGCGGTGATGTTGGTCCCCGGGGCTTATTGTCTTGTAATAAGCCCACCCTATGACTTTGTATTAGAGGTAAAGTGTCAGTCACAAAGCAAGCCATACTTTTATCCCTTCACTAATCATATTACACATTGATTGAATATTATCCAGACAACCTGCTGGATTAGGTTATATGGATATATTTAAACAATTAATTCTAGTTACCTTGTTAGACTGAAAGATGACATAGTATTGGGAGTGATTTTAGTTGAATTTCCCTTTTGTATGTTTAAAATGACTTTTTTTGTTTGTTTTGTTATATTGTTTTTTTTTTTTTAAATACAATATTAATATTTTGCTTTGTTCATCTAACCAGTGACCCTGGACGACAAAGCAAGCAAAGTACTGGGACCAACAGTCTGCTAGCCAATGTCAGTATCGACAGTGACCTGAATGACAGTTTCTCAGACGACCGCTTCAGTATGGACCTGGGTGATATTAGCGAGAGTAACACACCACCTCCAACATTGTCACATGACCTGTCCTCTGCAGCATCACATTTACGAAACCCTGATCATCCAGACTATATGGAACTTCAGAGTGTAACGTCCGGTGCCACTACGCTCCGGACGTCACATTCAGAGGATGTGAATGTCTCTCAGGAGTTTGGTGTCAAGTTTGACAAAATGGAATCTGCCAATAGTGGAAGTGTGGAACCTTTACTTCCAGCAAAATTACGACCAGCAAAGGAGAAGTCCAACCACCACAGTAAAGAAATGGAGAGAGGAGATAGAGAACGTCGCAAACCAATGTCGCCACCAAAAGGCAACGCACCAACAAGAGGTAGTCTGACCTCTAGTTTTATAAGTGACAGTAGCGACAGTTCTCTACGGGATGTTGTGACCCCGTTATCTGAAGGTCAAATATCAGATCGTAGTGACTCTCCCCGTATACCAACGTCGACACAACAACCAAATTATGCTGCCTTTACTGTACAGACTGAATTCTCTCAGAGGCAGCCGGACAGGATGCAGGGAGATTCAAGGTCAGATTTTGTTAAAACCAGTTACACTGTATCAGATCAAGCTTACACACCGGAGATGGCTCGGGCGGCCGGAATACCAGTGGTCAGTGATAGTAACAGCAATTCTGTTCTACAGCGATGGGGCTCTCGGGAAGGAAGTATAGCCAGCAGTCGAAGTTCTGGGGACTATTCCGATCACGAATCACACAAAATTCATTGTGATCATAAAGACAGAGAATCGTCTGGTTCTCGTACTGCAAAGAAAATTACAACATTAACAAAATCTTCTTCTGGAACAGATAAATTCATTATGCAAAACAAACCTTTTGTGATAAAAACTCATACGCCACCTGTGGGTGATCAAAAGTTAAGTAACACTACAAGTTTTGCTGAGATAAAACGTATGAAACAGAATGTTGGTAAAGTAGATAACTCTGGATTTGTGTATATGATAAAAGGCCAGGATCCTGTGGAAACAAAGAAATCCACACTACACACTAACTCCCAGAGACCTGACAGGGCTAGTAGACCAGAAAAGAAGACTACATTTGCTGCTCTGCCAAATCAAATGACATGGCAACAGACATCGCAGCAGCAGTCGGAGCCAGTACTTACTACAGGTGACAATGCTCATCTGGAAAATGGAGAAGCAGTCGGGGCAGGAGCATCAGACATGCTTCAAATTCGTCTCAAACTGGAAGAAAAACGTAAAATGATTGAGAAAAAGAAACATCGTATGGAAGCTCAACATCAAAAACTGCGTCAGAGGATGGGAAAAACGGCATTCTTACAAGTCATTCAAAAGCCAAGTGCTGATAAACCTGAAGACGTTGTGAACGGCCGCATTCCTGATGTAGGAGTGGGTAACTATAGTAGTCATACGCTTCCAAGATCAACTTTTAGTTCAACAGTGGACAGTAATCGTCCAAGATCACTTGACCGTGAAACAAGGTCGCTAGATCGTGACATTCCTAGCACCAGAACTGTACTTGATAGGCAAGGTCAAGGGGATGTTACAAGTGAACGTGGCCAACAACGGCCGTTTTCACGAGAGGGGATACAACAGACAATAGAAAATGTTCGTAAAAAGTGGTTTCGGGATGATGATGTATTAACTTCGTCGTCTTCAATGGCTGAGACTGAACAGGACCCAGATGGTCGTTCAAGGAGAATATCCTCACCTAGTCCCCATCACAGGATGTCCTTGTCAGACCAGAGGATGTCACAAAGCCCTCCACAAAGAATGCTGATGTCAGAAAGTCCTCCACAAAGGACAATGGTGTCAGGGAGTCCTCCCCAGAGAGCGGTGGCTTCAGAAAGTCCTCCACATCCATCAGAGGTAAGACGGCCTCAAGATGCTAAACAGGAGGACCCAAAACAATACAACAGATCTCTTGACAAATTAAATCAGAGCTTGGTTGACCTCCAGGGGGAAATCAGTCGTCTCAATCTACAACAGGGTCAACTCAAGTCCATGAAAGTGAATGCTGCAACAACAGGGTCTGGTCATGAACGTACTCATGATAGATCATCAGCATCTCCTCACAGAGGACAAAGTGAGCGAACAGCCACGCCTCCTAGGCCTGAGTCGGTCAGTGGGCATGTGGCTAAGTCTGATGGTAATGTAGACATACAGACACCAGAGAGGCTTGCACAGGGTAGTGCACAACATCCGTCGATTCTACAGCATCAAGATGCGGCCCTTCCCACACCAGAGAGATTAGCTAAGGCAGGGAGTGAGTATGCCCAACATCCAACGTCTCTTCAACAGATTCCAGGTTATCAACAACACCAGCCTAGTGGGCTTCCTATGGGGGTGTACACCTGCCAGAACCAGTATGTAAACATGCCTCAACCTCCTGTGATGTACTCTGGGTACCATACCCAGCCAGCCCCTCCATACCCACCACAGCAGTTCCCTCCCACACCTCCACATGGATATCCTCCGTCCCCAGCTTTCCCCCAACAGTTCCCTCAGCAACACATGCCCCCAGGGTCTCAGTTTGGTGTACCCAGTGTATCCTCTCCTCACTATGGTATGGGCATGCAGACGTTCCAGCCTCCTCCTCCTATAGCTTCTACATACACTGTACCCTCGTATCCGGGCTACACCAGTAGTGCTAACTCTCTTAGCAATGTACCTAGCCATGTGGGCGCCCAGCCGTATAATCCAACTTCTGTCGCTAACATTCCATCAAGTACTGTTACACCTAGAACTGATAGTCCTGCCTTACAATCAGACTCGGCAACATCTTCTGGCGATCCTAAAGTGACCAAAACAGAAATAACACAACAGGATCATGTGAATGTAAAGAACACTACATCCCAGGAGGATCGCTCGGATGATGGTGGTAATGTTATGGGACAAAATGGTGGGTTCTTTGTGTCATTTGGTGATGGATCTCCGAAGAGAACCAGACCTGCATTAGGAAAGGATCGGAGCCGTAAAGACCAGCATCATCCTCTAGCCAATCAGGACAGTGTACCATCTAGTCAGACTTCCTTAGTGCCACCTGGTGGTCAAACTCGGGATCGTAGTTCAGTGTCGCCTCATCGTGCCAAATGGGACATTCCATCTACATCAGCAAATGTGTCACAGCCAGGCATGGGTGGGTCAGCTTATGACCCACCTGTTGTACCAACAGAGCCACCTATTGGATTTGAGATTGAGCCTGAAAAGGATTCTCAGGAACAGGTAAAATATTAGTCTCAATAAAACATGTAAGATATAAGTATGGACCTGACAGGTAAGATATAAGTATGTACCTGACAGGTAAGATATTAGTATGTACCTGACAGGTAAGATTTAAGTATGGACCTGACAGGTAAGATATAAGTATGTACCTGACAGGTAAGATTTAAGTATGGACCTGACAGGTAAGATATAAGTATGTACTGACAGGTAAGATATAAGTATGGACCTGACAGGTAAGATATAAGTATGGACCTGACAGGTAAGATATAAGTATGTACCTGACAGGTAAGATATAAGTATGTACTGACAGGTAAGATATAAGTATGGACCTGACAGGTAAGATATAAGTATGTACTGACAGGTAAGATATAAGTATGGACCTGACAGGTAAGATATAAGTATAGACCTGACAGATAAGATATAAGTATGTACTGACAGGTAAGATATAAGTATGGACCTGACAGGTAAGATATAAGAATGTACCTGACAGGTAAGATATAAGTATGGACCTGACAGGTACGATATAAGTATGGACCTGACAGGTAAGATATAAGCATGGACCTGACAGGTAAGATTTAAGTAATGAAAGGTAAGATATAAGTATGGACCTGGCAGGTAAGATATAAGTATGGACCTGAGAGGTAAGATATAAGTATGTACTGACAGGTAAGATATAAGTATGGACCTGACAGGTAAGATATAAGTATAGACCTGACAGGTAAGATATAAGTATGGACCTGATATAAGTATAAGTATGTACTGACAGGTAAGATATAAGTATAGACCTGACAGGTTAGATATAAGTATGGACCTAATAGGTAAGATATAAGTATGTACTGACAGGTAAGATATAAGTATGTACTGACAGGTAAGATATAAGTATGTACCTGACAGGTAAGATTTAAGTATGGACCTGACAGGTAAGATTGAAGTATGTACTGACAGGTAAGATATAAGTATGGACCTGACAGGTAAGATTGAAGTAATGTCCTGACAATATTATGTTTGTACATGTATTAAGCGGACAGGTAAGATGTCAGTGTTGAAATGTTATTGATAAATGACTTTTCTGTGTTGAACTCTTTAAAATTCTAAAACCTTTGCTAGTCATTGAACGCTTGCGAGAAAGGGGTACTGGAAAGTTATCAGACTTTATGTATGTTTGTGTTTGATCATAGCATCAATCAACATCGATATTGATGTTCAAAATGTTTATGAATACAGTAATAATTGATTCTATCCACTTGTATGATTAGCTGTGAATGAATCACCTGATTATGTAAAACTAAGATGTAATGATATGGATACTGTTTTCTTTATCAATGAACATTTATGATTCAGGCAATGTTATACCGTATGAAATATCTATTGGTAACAATGTCTGTAATACCCTTCTCCTCCCCAGACAGATCTTTTCCAGACTGCTGCTAATATTCTGGACTGATTTCAATGAAACTAAGCAGGGGTGTTATGTGTAGATGTGCAAATGTACATGCAAGGGGCTTTTAGCTTACCTGGCCCTTTTAGGTGATCAAAAGGGGTTTATGTAGTCTTCTGTCGTCTGGTGTCTGTCAACTTTACAAAATGCTACTGGTCATGAATGAGTAAAGGGATTTTGACGAAATTTAGCCAGAAGCATCCTTAGGGGAAGGATATTTTTGTACAAATGGTGTGTCCTGCCCCCCTCCTCCCCCACCCATAGGGCCTGAGGGGCAGGGCACAAATAAGGTAATAGAGCAAATTCTTTAAAATCCTACTCTTTCAGCAGGATTGAATGGATTTTTTACCTATTTAGTCTGAATAATGTTTTGGTAAAGAGGAATCAATTTTGTATAAATGGTGGATCTTGGTCATATTGGGCAGAAAGGGAAGGGCTCTATCTATAGGGGAATTGTGTCGGAAAATAGTTTAGATCTCCATCCCATAATCATGTAAAGCATTGCTGGGCATAAAAGAGATGAATATAATCGTGATTTAAGAATTGGCCCTGGAGTCTGGCCCCACTCCTAGGGACTAAGTTTATAGTAATATCTTTGAAATAGTTTAAATCACTACCACTAAACCATGTATGGCAATGCTGGGCATCAAGAGATAGACACAGTCACAGGAGTGACCCCACCCCTCTGGACTTAATTTCTGGGTGATATCTTTGATAAAGTTGAGATACCAGCCCAATAATGGTATATAGTATAGAATTGCTTGGCATCACGAGATAAACACATTTGTTATATAAGAATTGACCCATGGGTGTGGCACGCCTCAAGGGATATTATTTCTGGGTCATATTTTTTATATAGTTGAGATACCAACCTGATAACCATATAAACTCTTACTGGGAATCAAAAGAGAAAGACAGTCAGGATATAAGAATTTACCCATTGGTCTTGTCCCATCAAACAGGTAAAGTGACTGAGCTTGGTTTTGGAAATATTTGAAATATCCAACCTATAGGTCTTATGCCAGAGCACAAATTGAATTAAAATTTGAGATATCATTTTTTGAGTTGAAGGCCTGAAACATACAAAGTATTAGAAGTTGTAACAGCTGGCTACAGCACCTGAGTGTTGTAGATAATAACATATTAATGATACCATGCTAACTATACACAGTATGTAACTCATGTCAATTAAAATATTACTGTTTGTTTTCAATAGATAACTGATGATGAAATGCTGAAAAAAAAAGAAAAGCTTATTCAGATGCAGATCAAACGTAAAGAGGATCAAGAGCGCAAACGATCTTACAAGGAAATGGAAATGGCTCGCAAAAAAGAACAGGAAAGGTTTGTACATAGGTGATTCAGGGTTCAGCACACACGACACAGCATCATCAGCCAAATCTATGTTAAGTGAACAGTGAATGTCGTTTCAAAATTGAGAAAAATGAATGACACTGAATTCTTTCTTGGATATGTCTAACCTACAATAAATGAACAATGAATGTCGTTTTCAGAATTATTAAGAAAAAAATGACACAGTTTTCCTACACAAATCTATCCAAGAATACTACCACGGACTTCAGCTCTTATGCTGATCTGGTAATATAGCACGAGATGACATCTCTGGAAGGCTTCCAGTTTTCTGAAAGTTTAATCTTAATACACAGATAATTCTGTTTTTACAATATAGTATAAGGTAAAAGAAATGAAACAGACAGTTTTTATAGAGTACTGAAACGCATTGTTATCATGGACGTTGTTAACAGGAATTACAAATCAAATTATAACAAACATCTGTAGAATTGGTTTATGGGTAATTACTGTACAGTGCTACCCATGTCTGTTTGTCCTATGGTGTTCCGTTTTGCATCTAATAAATATTGTATATTGAGAAATTCTCAACAAGTCTGGTTTATATTAACCATGACATTAAATTTGTCAACACATCATATTACCGGGTAAGTGGTCATCAGTCAAGGTTAAAGTGTCAAAGGTTTGACGTTTTGAAAATTTATCAAACAGTGTTACTTAATGTGTATGGAAGTAAGTGTATTCTTGTCTTCCAGGTATTCTCTAGTTATATCCATGAAGTAATATTTCAGTACAGTCCTGTAGAAGGTACATATAAAATTTGCATATCTATAGTATAAGGTGCTGTTACAGAATAAAACAGGAAGAAGTTGAGAGGAAGAAACAAGAAGATAAAGCTCGTCGAGAACTAATCTTCCGTCAGTATCAGGAGAAAAAACGACAACAGCAAGAAGAAGGTGACGAGTATGACCGTCCAGCCCCACGTCGAGAAAAATCGGCCACCAAACCAAGACCGAAGTCCATGCATGTAGCCAAAACAAATATACAATCAGGGTCAGATGAAGGTTTGCACTCCAATAGCTCTCAAGAGGATCTCTCTGCTCAAGCTTTCACTATTAGTCCTGGTCATTCAGGATCTTGTAAGTTTAGCTTGCTAGATCTAGCTAGACACTCACAAATCACGTTTGGCATTAAAATGACAGCTTCAGTTATTTGAAACAAAATGGAAGGTTTCAAATTCTCATACCTTTGATGACAGTAAGAATGTAATTTGATCCCAAAATTTCATTTATTTAGAAATTGAAGAAACTTCTACTTGAAAATGACTGAACTGTCTATTAATACAGTTTTATCTGAAAATGTTTTTTTTTTTTTTATGTTTGAAGAATTTAATTAATTTCTACAGTATACACTGTTACATCATCCTTTTTTACACATTCTAATTTTAGATATATTTTCAAATGCTTCATTTTTTTACCCTATCTGGATGTTGATACAAGTTGCTGTGAATCCCTTTCCTGATTTGGTGTTGTACGCTAACATGCTTGTGATTGGCCTAGATCTCATCTTTAGTTAATCTTAAGGGTTTGGCTATTTTCTGAAACACTTTCTGTTTTATTTCCTTAACCAACTCAGAAAGCTGTCAGGCCTATTTCTTTTAATAAGATATACCTTATTACCATATTCACGATATAAATTTCCACTTCCTCTGCGAAGTATTTTTAAATCTTTTCATCTATTTCATAGAAGTTTTCCAATTTTCATTTTACTCAAGAGTACTTTTTTGAAAATTTTGAATGTTTAAAATCTGAACTGTCTTTGTGTTTCCGAATGTCTTTATTCCTGTATCAGATCAATAATCAGACTTCCAAACAGTAGCTTTAGTTTCATTTCAGCCATTAAACTGAAGCTTCACGCAGTGATTACCTGCTTCAAGTGTTTGTTGTTTTCCAGGTTTAAATGTCAAAAGTGAAGGTCACCTTTCCCACAGATTGTTTACTGCTCTATAGATTGAGTTTTCATGGTCCAGTGAACCATGCTTTGTTACTAGATATGCTTGACAGGAATGGCTTTTCACTATGATGAGTGAAGCTCAATATTGATTTTACTACCTATAGAAAATTGATTAATGCAAATGCTAAACTTGGACTATGTAAATCAGTCATTTTATTTACTGAGAATACTATTGCTTGCTTGGGATGTCACTTCAGGTCTGATGTTGAATCATAAAATTTCTTTCTTTGGTTGGTTCCAACTTTTTTGTTCTCTAAGCTTCACCTCTCCACCTACTCCATTCCTTGGTTTGTGCAGATGAAAACTCTGTTCTTGATCTTGTATTTTCACCTGTTCTGTTAAACATTTCATTCTATTCACTCTCCAAATGTTTTTCTTTCATTCTTAACTTTTATAACTTCACATATTTCAAATTTAGCAGTGTTGTTCATTATCGCAGTGCTTAGTTCAAACTATTTATGTCTATTTTTCTCTTACTTAAGATAATGATAGAAGTACTTGCATGGTTTTATTTCAACATTTTTCTCATAAATATTTTTATTATTTTGCTGAAGTTTGTGTAATGTGTGGATGATGACCTGTGCACTTAAATCACTCTTCCAGTACACACAGTCCTCCCAGTACCGAAAGTATAGTTATCACAGTTAGAGACTATAGTCCTGAATCCACTATACAAGGCTTGAAGACGATTGGCTTATTTGCAATTTTGTTTGGATATTTTATTTGCATGGCATGAAAAAAAGGGAAAAACCAACTTTTCTGTTGTCAAGGTAACAGCTGTAATGGCAAGCTAAGCCTGACTATGAACACATTGATGTAAGTTTAGCAGATAGTGAGGCCAATTAGGATGGATTCTTAATGTGACATTATTTAACAGTATGAAGATAATTTCATATTCATTTTATTTAAAAAGAGAAAAAATTGATATGAAGCATCGAGCACATCAGTGTTACAAGTATATAAAACTGAAAAAGGATAGAGTCAAAGAACTCACATATAGCTAAAGTTGGTGTTTATTTACAACTGCTGGCAATCATTCAAAGTTATGACACTGACTGGTAAACTGAAATCTTTTTATGTATTGGCCTGACTCCTGTAAATTTTACTGAATGAAATGATATGTAGAAAGCTTGCTATCTGGTTACTTTTTCATGAGTTGTTGAAAGTCTACATTTTTTACCTTAACATTAAAATTTTGATGCATTCATATGAAGAAAAATTGTAGATACAGAATTAATTACATGAATTAAAGGAAAAAAAAGAAAAAGAAAATATATCATTCTTTCCAGAATAACCTGCTTGGTTTCTGGTTCTTGTGAGAAATTTACAATGTACTTGGAAGTCTGATTTTAATTGTTGTTTGTGCAATGTTACACTCTTTGATGGAAATATTGAACTTGTGAGGTGAATATTGTGATAATACAAAGTGTTGTTAAGTACATGTATTTGTGAAACTTCTGTCCAAGATTTTGTTTTTGCTTGAGTTTTTGCTGGTCAATGGATAACTGAATAAGAGACTTTTCAAGGTGAAAGTAAGGAAATTTTGAATTCTAGCATAGACTGTGTTCAGCAGGAATGTCAGGATATCAAAGTGTAGAGCAAGGAAAGAAAATATTACTGATGGATTTTGAGGACCTATGAGACAGTATTTTTTTGACATGTCTGATATACATCAGATTTTTCAGCCTCACGAAGTACTTGTGGAAAGTACACAAGTTTTTTTTTTAATTTTCATTACATGAGTTTATAGATTCTGATTGCTGAAAAAGTATGGGAAAATCCCTTGAAGAGTCTCTTTAAATCTTGCTTTGGTTTGGTTTTTGTTTCTTGCACAATTTTACTTCTCTGACATTTCAGCGCGGAGTTATAGACGTACGCATGGGTTAGCGCCACCCAGGGGCAAAATGCGGAAGGCAGGTGTGTAAAGGGGCATAACTCCTATCTTCAACAACTTTCCCTTCTTTTGACTTTTTAAATTCTTATTTCATTTGTTATTTAAGTAGTATTAGCATTTTACTGGTGATTTTTTTTTCACTCATTTGTTTTTAAATCATTATAACTGTGGTTGATGTACACAACTGTAGGTCAGTTATGACATTGAGATGTCAGCTACCCATTGATCCCTATATTGAAAAGCAGTATAATCAGCTGGGCTCATGGAAGTAAGAAAATTTCAACAGAATATTTGATAACAAAACCTACGTCATTAATGATGAAATATTCTAAGCAATAGGAATCTCATAAATTTTTGATTTTATCAGTTAATAGGTTGAATGTCTTGATAATTATTTGATACATTGTAGACAACAAAGCTAGGGTCGTGTACACCTATATGATTATATGTAGTAGTTGTACTGCAGGAATGATTAGATTTCTGCATTCATAGTATATATTTTATTGTTTAATGTTAGTGTAGTTTTGTAATAAAGTAAAGCCTGTAAAATCAGGGCTACTTTATCTATAGATGTTTAGAAATTTAGCAAAATTAAATAGATAATCATTGAAAGTTCTCTTAAATAAGACATAACAGATACTCTCCACATTTCTGACCAGGGAAAGGATAAAGAGTGACCACTCTACCATCAACCACTGATTTTAATAGAAAAAGGGGTCTAGCTTTTATTACTGTCAATAGATTTAGGTTCAATATGGAAAGTTTAGAGAGCGAGGATTCATTTGTCTTTATTTAAATTACATGTCTTAAGGGCACATTTGATGTGGCATTCACTATAAAATCACATTATGATTGAGTTTTGATAACAGTCTCCATGTATTAGAGAAATAGTTCTGTGGATGTGTAGTGCTTTATAGTTAATTGGAGAAAACCGTGAGACAGTAATTCATATTGAATAATGAAAAATTACAAAACGCTTTCTGATAAACTCTTATATTTAAAAGCATAAAAACAAATGATCATTAAGTTTTGAGACATGGAGGAGAAAATAGAAATTATTATTACAGAATTGGTTGAAAAATTGTTCATCATCAAGGTGAAGAAATTTACAAATTTTTCAAGATGTTCACTGGGTATTTGTATTTTATAATCCAGTTGATAATTCTGGAACATTGTTTTTCAGGTTCATTTGAGGTAGAAAAGCTTGCTGGTTTGAATTTTGATACATATGCATTTTGTTCTAGTCTAAAACCTACGTTTTGTTTTACTCTATAAATATTAATAAAATCAAATATTGAAGTGATTCTGTATTTCACTTAAAGATTGTCTATAGCTAGTTACATTCATGGTGGACTATTATGAGCTGCATGTTACAGCATTTTAAGAAAATTGTCTTAATATTATGAGAGAATGCTGAATCTTCCTAGTAGATCATTTTATCCTTGTCCATCCATCCTGTCCTGTCACATCCTGTTCAAAACCAAAATCTCATCTTGGTTCATATTTACCCGATGATACCATGATATCAAGTTCTATACCTGGTCAGTTTCTGATTGGCATAGAAGTTATACTTATGTTTTATAGGCTTTCTGTTGTCATGGTAATATTGATATTAATACATCCCTGAATGGTGTACTCTAGATACCTTCAGTGACGTGCTATTACAGGGGACGTGTTACATCCCTGAATGGTGTACTCTTGATACCTTCAGTGACGTGGTATTACAGGGGACGTGTTAAATTCCTGAATGGTGTACTCTAGATACCTTCAGTGACGTGGTATTACAGGGGACGTGTTCCGTCCCTGAATGGTGTACTCTTGATACCTTCAGTGATGTGGTATTACAGGGGACGTGTTACATCCCTGAATGGTGTACTCTTGATACCTTCAGTGACGTGGTATTACAGGGGACGTGTTAAATCCCTGAATGGTGTACTCAAGATACCTTCAGTGACGTGGTATTACAGGGGACGTGTTAAATCCCTGAATGGTGTACTCTTGATACCTTCAGTGACGTGGTATTACAGGGGACGTGTTACATCCCTGAATGGTGTACTCTAGATACCTTCAGTGACGTGGTATTACAGGGGACGTGTTACATCCCTGAATGGTGTACTCTTGATACCTTCAATGACGTGGTATTACAGGGGATGTGTTACATCCCTGAATGGTGTACTCTTGATACCTTCAGTGACGTGGCATTACAGGGGATGTGTTACATCCCTGAATGGTGTACTCTAGATACCTTCAGTGACGTGGCATTACAGGGGACGTGTTACATCCCTGAATGGTGTACTCTTGATACCTTCAGTGACGTGGTATTACAGGGGACGTGTTACACCCCTGAATGGTGTACTCTTGATACCTTCAGTGACGTGGTATTACAGGGAACGTGTTACATCCCTGAATGGTGTAATCTAGATACCTTCAGTGACGTGGTATTACAGGGGACGTGCTATATCCCTGAATGGTGTACTCTTGATACCTTCAGTGACGTGGTATTACAGGGGACGTGTTACGTCCCTGAATGGTGTACTCTAGATACCTTCAGTGACGTGGCATTACAGGGGACGTGTTACGTCCCTGAATGGTGTACTCTTGATACCTTCAGTGACGTGGTATTACAGGGGACGTGTTACGTCCCTGAATGGTGTACTCTTGATACCTTCAGTGACGTGGTATTACAGGGGACGTGTTAAATCCCTGAATGGTGTACTCAAGATACCTTCAGTGACGTGGTATTACAGGGGACGTGTTAAATCCCTGAATGGTGTACTCTTGATACCTTCAGTGACGTGGTATTACAGGGGACGTGTTACATCCCTGAATGGTGTACTCTAGATACCTTCAGTGACGTGGTATTACAGGGGACGTGTTACATCCCTGAATGGTGTACTCTTGATACCTTCAATGACGTGGTATTACAGGGGATGTGTTACATCCCTGAATGGTGTACTCTTGATACCTTCAGTGACGTGGCATTACAGGGGATGTGTTACATCCCTGAATGGTGTACTCTAGATACCTTCAGTGACGTGGTATTACAGGGGACGTGTTACATCCCTGAATGGTGTACTCTTGATACCTTCAGTGACGTGGTATTACAGGGGACGTGTTAAGTCCCTGAATGGTGTACTCTAGATACCTTCAGTGACGTGGTATTACAGGGGACGTGTTATATCCCTGAATGGTGTAATCTAAATACCTTCAGTGACGTGGTATTACAGGGGACGTGTTAAGTCCCTGAATGGTGTACTCTAGATACCTTCAGTGACGTGGTATTACAGGGAACGTGTTACATCCCTGAATGGTGTAATCTAGATACCTTCAGTGACGTGGTATTACAGGGGATGTGTTATATCCCTGAATGGTGTACTCTTGATACCTTCAGTGACGTGGTATTACAGGGAACGTGTTACATCCCAGAATGGTGTACTCTAGATACCTTCAGTGATGTGGTATTACAGGGAACGTGTTACATCCCTGAATGGTGTACTCTTGATACCTTCAGTGACGTGGTATTACAGGGAACGTGTTACATCCCAGAATGGTGTACTCTAGATACCTTCAGTGACGTGGTATTACAGGGGATGTGTTATATCCCTGAATGGTGTACTCTAGATACCTTCAGTGACGTGGTATTACAGGGAACGTGTTACATCCCTGAATGGTGTACTCTTGATACCTTCAGTGACGTGGTATTACAGGGGACGTGTTATATCCCTGAATGGTGTACTCTGAGGCCACAGTAGTGGAGTGGATAAGGCATCTGACTATCTCTGTCTCTAGCCCTTTGCTTTTGTGTCTCTGTCTCTAGCTCTTTGCCTTTGTGATGCTCATTCGAGGCATACATGTGAGGCAGTTGTCAGGTACTGGCTCCTGGTCGGTTGTTTTTCTCTGGGAAATCAGACTTGTCCACTGTCAAATTAAAGCTGGCATGTTCTTTATTCTAGTGGTTAATAGGGCGTAAAGCCAAAATGAACAATAAAGTAGATTTATAGAGGGTGTGCATTCATTCAACATATATACCAACATCTGCTGCATCTCTAGCATGACCTGAATTAAAAATAAGCTGCATGTTACAAATAACAGATTGTTTTGAGATGAAGAATTTCCAAGAATATGTCTGCATTGTGATAACGAGATCCATTTTTGTAAGGATTGAGAGATATTTGTTTTTATAGCATGCTGTTGAATATTAACAAGCAGTTTCATGTAGATATTTATGATAATTGTCCAGTAAGGAGATATTATTAGGGAGAACTTTTCATTCCAGGATGTCTCTATTTAAACATGATTACATGTTATGATGTATCAAAAAATGTATTAAAAGTGAATCTGATATATGATTCTGTATAATAAAGATTATTTTTTCTCACATTTTGAACTATGGCTATTTTGGTGAATGGTTTACTGACATTCAATAGAAAATCATTTCTACAGTTTTAAATATTGATGATATATATATCTGTAACCTTGCAGACATCAATAAAAACAGTCAAGATTTGGGTTAATAATATTGTGACAATTTTCCAATTTTTGATGGTTTGTGATGAAATGTACCGGTCTGTTATTAAATGGAACAGTCTGTGGTGAAATAGACCGGTTTGTGATGAAACAGACCAGTCTGTAATGAAATGGACTGGTCTGTGATGGAATGGACCGGTTTGTAATGAAATGGACTGGTCTGTGATGGAATGGACTGGTTTGTGATGAAATGGACCGGTCTGTGATGAAATAGACTGGTCTGTGATGGAATGGACCGGTTTGTGATGAAATGGACCGGTTTGTGATGAAACAGACCGGTCTGTGATGAAACAGACCGGTTTGTGATGATATGGTTGTATCCTTACGAAAGACACTTTCCCTGAATTGCTCTGAAAAGCATGTGATGGGCCTTCTGTATAGTGTTCATTGAGGTAGCCAACATCTACAGCAATGATACCCCGCCATAGAATGACCCTGGCCGTTAAGGAGTAGATACATATTTCTATGATAAAAATAGTGCTACCGGGTATTTAATTATATATGACAAAGATTTAATTCAATCATGTCTAATACTGATGTCATGTGACCACTGCAAAGGAAAAACAAAACTGAGATGTATAATTAAGAAAATATTCTTCAAGGTACTATTGTAATAGAATATCTGAGAATTAAAATAAATCAAACCATTAAATTCCAAACTTTATATTCAAGCTAAATTGAGAATGTTGGATGTTTTGCTTTCCATTTTAACAGTGTCTTGTAACACCCTGATGACAAGCTCAGCTGACGGTAAATCGCTGGCCTACGGAGGGATAACTCATCGCAGACCGGCAAGTCCAGGTAATAACTTACAACTAATACCATATCTTCATTAGCTAATTTCAGATTATATATTGTAAATATACTTAATTAAGGTGTAATCAAATTTTAGCACATCACTTTTTATACCCCTGGAAAATTTATGGGGGAACATACAGTGGCCACTTTGTCAGTCCTTCCATCCATCTTTCCATCTGTCCTTGTGTGTTCGGAGCACAACTTTGACCTCTATTAAGAAATGATCATGAAACTTTTTGTATGCATTGGTCATACAAAGGCAATTTGCACAAAGATGATGTGCAGTGTACAAAATTCAGGGGAGGCAACCCCTTAATTAAAGAGATATTGTCCATGGTTAGAGTTTGATGTCCAGAGGATAATACAACTTAGTGTATACATTGATCATGCTAGGAGGATATGCAGTGTAACAGACTCAGTGCCCACAACTCCGTAATTACAAAGTTATTGCCCTTTTTAGCTCAACAGGCCCAAAGGCGAAATAAGCTTATTTTGTGGCGCGGCATCGTCATCTGTCCTTCAGGCATCGGGCGTCTTCTCAATAACCAATGAACCAAGTGTTTTGATATTTGGCTGGTATGATCCTAGGATGAAGTCTGTAAAAGTTTGTGAAAGTTTGTGTAAAGAAATGGCCTTGACTGATATCCAAGCTCACAGGGGCCATATCTGTTCAAAGATTTAAAGACTTCTTCTCATGAACTAGAAGGCATAGAGATGATATTTTATTGGTATGTTTCTAAGATGAAGCCTGACAAAGTTTGGGAAAACAGATGACTTGTAGTAATGATCACAGGAGTCAAATTGCTAACATTTAAATGACTTCTTCTCTTGAACTAAAAGGTATGATATTTTGCTGGTATATATATATATACCAGATACCCACTGCAGGCCCATTGGGTCTCTTGTTTGAATTTTTTGTCCAGAGCATAACTTTGCTTTCATGTTTACATAGATCATATGGAATCAATGTGTAGTGTACCAATATTAAGAGCCCACAAAATCTCGATTACAGAGTTATTGTCCTTTGTCAAAATTTTCTGTACAAAACATAACATTGTCTTCATTAAAACCAGGTTAGTGAAATGTGACATATAACTCAGTCATACAAAAGAGATATGTTTTATACCACAATCAGGGCCTGTGACCTCTCATTTACAGAGTTATTGTCCTTCGTTAAAATGTTTGGGTCCATAGCATAACTTTCCTTCCATGTAAGCAAGGCCATACTAAGAGGATGTGCAGTGAACTAAATTATTTGGACAGACAAATGACGTGCTGGTGATGTAAAAGTTTCTCAGAAAAAAAGTTCGGTTAGCGATTTTTGCTTGAGCCCAATTTTCTGTTGGTCGATAAAGGATTAAAAATATTGGTATGATGTTTATGCTTTCAGATTTATATAACAGAGGACGGAGGTCTAAAGCCAATACAGAAAGTAGTGATACCGGTTCTAACACAGGGTCTAATGCAGGCTCAGACTATGCAGGTCGGTTATCAGTAACACAAGGTCTACTATAGACTACACAGGTCAGAAACACCCAGTAACACAGGGTCTACTATAGACTACACAGGTCAGAAACACCCAGTAACACAAGGTCTACCACAGAATACACAGGTCAGAAACACCTAGTAACACAAGGTCTGCTATAGACTACACAGGTCAGAAACACCCAGTAACACAAGGTCTACCACAGACTACACAGTTCAGAAACACCCAGTAACACAAGGTCTACTATAGACTACACAGGTCAGAAACACCAGTAACACAAGGTCTACTATAGACTACACAGGTCAGAAACACCCAGTAACACAAGGTCTACTATAGACTACACAGGTCAGAAACACCCAGTTACACAAGGTCTACTATAGACTACAAAGGTCAGAAACACCCAGTAACACAAGGTCTACCACAGACTACACAGGTCAGAGCACCCAGTAACACAAGGTCTACTATAGACTACACAGGTCAGAAACACCCAGTAACACAAGGTCTACCACAGAATACACAGGTCAGAAAAACCGAGTAACACAAGGTCTACCACAGACTACACAGGTCAGAAACACCCAGTAACACAAGGTCTACTATAGACTGCACAGGTCAGAAACACCCAGTAACTCAAGGTCTACTATAGACTACACAGGTCAGAAACACCCAGTAACACAAGGTCTACCACAGACTACACAGGTCAGAAACAGAATAGAAGTTGTTAACTTCATTTTTTGATCAGTATGTGGTAAGCAAGGCCTATTACCAGACTTGGGGTTATTGCTGGATAAATATGGACCAATCAGTTAGTTGTTGAATTTTAACCATTCAGATCTGTATGACTTGTGTGTTGTAATTATAAAGTCACTTTCTTACATATTTGATTTTTCTGATGACTTTTCTTTACAGGTCCCAGGCTGTTTGTGAAGCCCAGTTCCAAATCTAACCGACACATCATAATCAATGCTATCAGTCATTGCTGTTTAGCTGGCAGTGTTAACTCAGAAATGAAAGCCAAGGTTTTAGAGGTACTTGTTGTGTTGTCAGGATGTTTTCATTAGATCTTTCACACAGTCGAATGCCTCGTAGGTATACCATACATGTTATCAGATGATATTGTTAATTATATCAGGAGTCATTAGATGGCTGCTCTTATCTCTCGGTTTGTAGGTCCCGCTCCCTGTAGATAACCAATGATAATATATTTAAATTTCCTTGCTATTAAAGTTGAAAGTTCATCATTGATAATCACTGTAGATATTCTTATGTCATAATACATATTTGCGAAACTCTGGTTATGAAAATATTTATCTGTTCTAAAAGGATCATTGTAACTATTATGTTAATGATATTATCAAACTTATTAGATGGAACATGGTTAAGATATATACCAGGTAAACAAGGAGAGGTTTTACTACAGCTGAAGTATATAAAATCTCTTGTGTTTTGTAGGAGATGGCCAAGTCTGATGCCAAACATTTCATCATCTTGTTTCGTGATCACAGTTGTCAGTACCGCAGTGTGTACGAGTATTACCCTGAGACAGAGGACATCTACAAAATTCATGGCATAGGACCCAAACAGATCACTAACAAAATGATTGAGAAGTTTTACAAGTAATTATTTATTACTGTTTATTTGGATAAGCTAGTATTAATACTGTCTGACTCAGAGCATGAAAAATTTCTCTTATTTCTGTGTCCTATTTATCCTAAGAGTCCATCATCATTTCCCCTGTTACTTTACACAGAGATAATGATATGTAGCTTACCTGGCCCAAACTAGAAGGCCTAGAGGCATGATATTTGGCTGATATGTCTCTAGGATGACGACCAACAAAGTTTTTTGAAAAGAAATGACCTTGACTTATATTCAAAGTTGAATGGGTCAAATTTGTTAAAACGTTTAAATGACTCCTCATGAACTTACATGTCTGGTGGCATGATGTTTTGACTTGTGTGTTCTTAGGATGATGCCCAACAAAATTTGTGAAAAGAAATGACCTTGACCTATGTTCAAGGTCACAGGGGTCAAATTTGCTAAAACATTTAAACAACTTCTTTTCATGAATTAAAAGGCCTAGAGGCATGATATTTAGCTGGCATATATGTACTAGATGAGACCTGCAGGCCCAGTAGGCCTCTTGGTTTGTCCATCAAGCAATTTGCTTACCTGTCACATATTGCTTAGAGCTTTTCTGTTATTGATGACTTTAGATGTAGCTCCTCCACAGGGAATTTTCTTTTGTGTCAGAAATGTCATTTACATATTGATTAAGAAAAAATCTTAAAAAATCTGACACATTTTAAATCTAGCTTTTTCCAAGATGTTGTCATAATTATGCTCAATTTATGACTTCAGAACTGATTTGATTTAGATGATCATTTTTTTCACATCATGTAGAAAAACAATATCAGGCAATAGAAGCTTTGTTTACTTATAACAATCAGTTTTACAATTAATGAATTATTTAGACACAAGATATCTAAAAGCAGATTTTCACCTCAATTGTCTTTTGGGATAGAAATGACATGGTATATTGTTTTTATTGATATCAATTAATTACCATAAATCAAGAGATAGTTTTTAAGAGATCAATACCTGGGACTGATACTTGTATTCCTCTTTTGCAGGTACAATTCCGGTTCAAAAGGATTTTCAGAAATCTCGTCGACAAAACATATATCTGTGTCTATAGACGCTGTTGCTATACAAAGTGCTTTATGGAAACCTGGAAAAAGTACAGCGAAAAAATAACAGTTTATTAAATTATTTAGTGACAAGCATTATATGTGGCCAACTTCAGCTGTTGAATCTCTTTCTTCATTTGGGATGTGTTGCTGATTACACTTGTGTTCATCGCTGGAAATATTCCGACTCAAACAACTTTCATAGACAGGACACTGGAAGTGTAGTCTTGGGGAGTTCTAATGTTTATTGTAACAGCATGCAATATATAGCATGCTTATTGTCTGGTTATGTTCACGGAAATTCATGTCATATTGCTCAAATAGTAAAACAAAGCTTGTAGCATGAGAACAAAGACATGGAGTGTCTGCGTATGAAACTTCATAATAAAAATATTGGATAAGTCACTAGCTAACAGAAACATTTGCAAAACAGAAATTAAGTTGTCATCTTGGATTCTTTATCGATGTATGCTTATTTATAGATTTCACTATGATATATATCATTGAATTCCAGAAAAGTAAAACAAAAAAATATTCATCAGGATTGAATTCTTCCATTTAAGGATGGAGGTATAAATTTCTCTGTGATATAACATGGAATGTAGGAATATTCTAAATTTTATGATTTGCAACAAGTGTATCTCATACGGTACTTAATCAGTTTTTTTCAGTAATTCAGGTGTAATTTGTCGATAAACCTCCTCTAACACTAGTTTTTTCTTTGGATAAAATTCATTTGTACCTGAAATAAATTGAAGATAATATCTATTCTTTTGTTAGACATTTAAAACTGATACAATACTTCTGTAGTATTTTGATAAAACAAGGGACCAAAATTTGAAAAAAAAAACATTATGTCACTTAAACATGGTCATCACTTCCTTCATCATCCAACCTTGTCATTTTATTTATAGAAACACTTGATTGAGGCTACAGTTAGTTTGAAGTTTTCCTGTCTGGGTTTAAAAATCATAAAAATAAAAAAAAATGTAGAGTTAAGTTTATTGAAATACAGCTGAGAAATAGTTTTATTTATTTCAATTATTTTCAATTTTAAAGAAATATTACCTCAGTAAAAAGGTGTGTGTATTCTCTGTGACAGTATCATAATTCAGAGGCCCAGATAGTGTTGCATTTAGTCTGGTATTGCTAATTAGCTAATATTTTGTCAGATCTTCATTCATGGTCGTACAGTCACATCAAATATTTGTCCACAGTAATTTCCTAGTCGCACATCTGTATGTCTTTGTTCATAGACTGTTTTCAAAAAATTACTTAAACATTTTATGAACTTGATATCCAGACAATTTTTCGGCAAGATATTGTCTTAAGGATTTATATGTGGATGAACATCCATTTGAAAATTGTATTATGAATTCCATTTGAACTGTTTCCTTTGATGAATTGGCGTTTGAGAACATAATATCTTGCTAGTCCCTGAGGTTGTTTAATGTATGAAGATGACTGTTATATGATACTAAAAGTGGAACATGTTTTCTGCTGTTGTGTTACTCAATATATTAACGTTCTTGTTATGCAAATAAGTCTACATGTTGCAAAGAAGTTAAAACTTGTGATTAATGTGTTTAAGTGTAATTGTAACACAGTGTTAAATACATGTCGTACATGCTGTTTCATGTTGCATAAAACAATTCCCTACACACGATTAGAATTTGAATTCCTTCGTAGCTATTTGCCAAACTTTTCACCAATCCATGAAGAGCTGTGATTTTTATGTGCCATCTTGTGTATCCAGTTATCACAGAGCTTATGTCAGTAAGAAATTATAAACAGAAGGGTGTGCTTCTTATATTGATAAACAAATGATGTGTAATTCCCTCGTAGATCCATTCACATATGTGGAGAGGTTTTAAGCATAAAGAAATGTTCTAGAATTCATGTTTGTTAATGTAGAGAAATTTGTAGTGTTCGTATCCAGGATTATAGCCTAACAGAGTATTATAATATATAACGGCCTTGATGTAGAAGAATTAATTCAACAATTTTGCTCAAGATAACTTTTGTAAATTTCTGAATAAAATTGTCAAATAAAATAAACTTAGATTGGGTCGAGGAGGAATCCTATCATCGGTGTTTACTCAGAAAGTTCACACACAATAACATTCTCATAGAACTCATTAATGTAAATGTTCCTTTAGAAATACTGGGTAGTGATTTAAGCATCAGTTACGATGAATCAAACTCCCGAAAGGAAAGTTCAGTCCTGAATAATCTAATACATTTTACTTATCAATCGGTTGATTTCCTTCTTACATGGTTTAGCCTTTTACTGAAGGTCACAGAAAAAATGAGAGTAAAATTTGTCTTCCAATCCCACTGAATATATTTCTTTCAATTCCTGAATCACTGGTTACAAGTAATCGATAAAATACAAAATATATAGATACTTGGTTTAACTGGAAGTCGGATCTATATCCCCTGATACTTGGTTTAACTGGAAGTTGGTTCTCTATCTCCTGATACTTGGTTTAACTGGAAGTTGGTTCTATATCCCCTGATACTTAGTTTAACTGGAAGTTGGTTCTCTATCCCCTGATACTTGGTTTAAGTGGAAGTTGGTTCTATATCCCCTGAAACTTGGTTTAACTGGAAGTTGGTTCTATATCCCCTGATACTTGGTTTAACTGGAAGTTGGTTCTATATCCCCTGATACTTGGTTTAACTGGAAGTTGGTTCTATATCCCCTGATACTTGGTTTAACTGGAAGTTGGTTCTATATCCCCTGATACTTGGTTTAACTGGAAGTTGGTTCTCTATCCCCTGATACTTGGTTTAACTGGAAGTTGGTTCTATATCCCCTGTCCTTGTATAGATATGTTGACAATATGACAAATGGACCCTTACATAAGGAATCTGTCTCACAATGAAATAGTGCTCTTATACACGTGTGCTGTAAATGAATTTGAAATTATTTAAACTGAAGTGCTATCTTTACAAAACAAATTTCTGACAAACATTTTGCATGTTTATCGACCAATTCATGCAATGAGTTTCCATAAACAATACAGGCTTTCACTAACGAGATGATTTAGTGATTGTCACTAGGCTTACAATACAGAGGAATTGATCAGTCAAGCTTTCATGTTTTGGTATTGATTTATAAAAGGTGTTTTACACTGAATGTTTTTCTAAATGAAATTCTATGTAGAGAGATGAGTAATATCACAGCAAACCTGCTGCAGAGTTTGCTGTAATTTAAATTCACCTTGTGGCATTTAAAACCTCATGTGTTCATTCAATCAATACTTATATGGTTTTTTTTCATTGGGAAACATTTTAGTTTGTCATGGTGATTGAAATTTACATGTATGTACCTTGTATGAAGTGCTAGGAGACCATCTGGTGTAAAAAGCCTGTTAATATTATACATACTGGAAACAGAATGATTATCTTCATAAAAAACATTAATCTAATTTCTCAAATACAAGTAAAATTGAGAAACTTACAGATGAGAAAAGATAATATATGAAATGTTATTCCAGAATGAATATACAGGTTGTGGGTGAACAAATATTTTTGACTCCAACTGTCCTCATTTTTAATCAGCATTCACTTGGCAAATATTAGCAATACATATTTAGAATTGTGATTATTTTCATACTTTACGGTACATATAATGCATTTCATATGATTTTACCACAGTGTTGAATCAACATAAATTTTCACACATGAATAATTCATTTGTTATTGTTTAATGCCTAAACATTTTAGTGATTTTCTCCCCTCGCTATCACCAGTAGAAATGAACTGTTTTATAAATAATAGATAACCCGCAAATGTTCAAACTCAGTTTTTGTTCGTGATCAATAATCCATAACTCATAACTAACTCATCGCTCATATAATACGTGAGATATTCTGTCTTTTTGGGAATATATTTTCCCTGAATTGTGTTTTTTCTATATAACCACAAAAGAATGACATTTTAAATAATGAAGTTTTTCCCTAATGTAATACAGTATGTACTATTCAGAGATCTTAAAAGGTATATACACACATACTATTTTAACGAGTTTAAATCTTTTAAGTCATAGAGTGATATCTATGATAGTAAAATGATATTTACTCTTTTTAACTTTTAATTGAAGTCCAAGAAATCTATACTTTGTGTGTATCTTGGTGTCCTACTGTTTGGAAATAGAAATGCATGTTACACCAACATAGATCTTGGACTGTACTGTTATAGATTACCAGAGGTTTATAAATATTTCATGTTAAATTATATTGTGTGAAAGGTTTGTTGCTTCAGCTTACTTAATGATGGTGGTCATAGAACTATGAAAGACTGTAAATAATCATCACAGCTGTGAAAGTGTTTCTCTAGCTGTTCATTATACATGCTACAATTTGTCCAAATCTTTCATCTAATATCTATTTTCAAAAAAAGAAAAAGAAATGGCCTTTAAAGAAAAGTAGAATTAAAGAACATTAACCATTGATGTATTGTATTGAAACAACAACAAAAGATCTTTACTATTTCGGATTAATTAATGTGAACTAGATGTCTTTTACTGACAATAAGTTTTGTTAAGACAACTCTTTTACCTAATATCAAAAACCTTTATATTCCTCAAATGGAAATTGTGTCTCTTTACATTTATTCATATTTTGTATCTTAAGTTGTCTGAAAGCATTTCTCTTACGTTTTAATGTGATCTCTTCAGATGTTTTGATCGCTGATAATTCTGTAACAGAGGTCAGTGTATCCATGTTTGGTGATAATTCTGTAGCAGAGGTCAGTGTATCCATGTTTGGTGATAATTCTGTAACAGAGGTCAGTGTATCCATGTTTGGTGATAATTCTGTAACAGAGGTCAGTGTATCCATGTTTGGTGATAATTCTGTAACAGAGGTCAGTGTATCCATGTTTGGTGATAATTCTGTAACAGAGGTCAGTGTATCCATGTTTGGTGATAATTCTGTAACAGAGGTCAGTGTATCCATGTTTGGTGATAATTCTGTAACAGAGGTCAGTGTATCCATGTTTGGTGATAATTCTGTAACAGAGGTCAGTGTATCCATGTTTGGTGATAATTCTGTAGCAGAGGTCAGTGTATCCATGTTTGGTGATAATTCTTTAACAAAGGTCAGTGTATCCATGTTTGGTGATAATTCTGTAGCAGAGGTCAGTGTATCCATGTTTGGTGATAATTCTGTAGCAGAGGTCAGTGTATCCATGTTTGGTGATAATTCTGTAGCAGAGGTCAGTGTATCCTTGTTTTGTTATTCTGTAACAGAAGTCGCTGTATCCATGTTTGGTGATTATTCTGTAACAGAGGTCACTGTATCCATGTTTGGTGATAATTCTGTAACAGAGGTCAGTGTATCCATGTTTGGTGATAATTCTGTAACAGAGGTCGCTGTATCCATGTTTGGTGATAATTCTGTAACAGAGGTCAGTGTATCCATGTTTGATGATAATTCTGTAACAGAGGTCAGTGTATCCATGTTTGGTGATAATTCTGTAACAGGGGTCGCTGTATTGTTCAAATGTTACTAGATGTATTGTCTTTAATTCTACAGTGGTACATATCCAGAAGTTTGGAAAAAAATTGAGGCTCCACTAAATGTTTGAACTGAATAATGAACAAGAACAATTTGTAAAGCCTTTTTCTGATCCCTGATACTCTGCTCAGTAATAAATGTCCAATGTAGAGATCTATTTCATTTAGTTCTGCAGGCAGTAATGAGGTAAATAGAATTCATAAAAAAAACAGAAACCTGTTTCATAACTTCTTTGAAAAAAGTTGATCTTTCCTCTTTCATCAGAGTTTTTGGTAATTCTGCAAAAATGTGAACAGTGAAAAAAAAAACCTTTACTGTCAATTACACAATGGCATCAGTACACAATTTGGGTCCCGAAACTCCTAAAACACCTAAACCCTATTTGTATTACAAGCTACAAAATATTCCTTGTTAGGTGTTATAGCTCTGAACAGATAATATGTTTATTACATCTGTAATACATATAAGCTCTCAGCTCACATGTAGACATTGGATCATGTGGAGGTCAGGGGTCATAGGACTAGTACTCAGTTCCTAAGGTAGCTATCATATAAATTGTCTTTTCATTCTTATGTTTCTAGTTTTGGCTTATTCCGATGACAGTCTACTTCATCGTCAACAATGTGATAAAAATAACAAAATATACGTAAGATGATTTGGTTTTAAATATCTTTCATTTCTTTCAAAGATGTGGACAAATTGTGATATGTATCTAGTCATATAATTGTTAAGTTGTAAAATGCCTTAAGTACCGATCTTCCTTAAGTGACCTGAATATGTGCTATTTTTCTTCATGCATATTCATATTTATGTCTAAGTGTATATCTATTGTATGTTTCTTAAGTGAAGATTCTGTATGTGAACTGATGTAGAAGTTCACTGCTATAATTTACTGAATATTTATTTCAATTCATGAACATATTAATTGTAATGCATATAATGAAAAAGTATTTGTGGTTTGTGACTGTATAATTTCTGTGTGTATTAAAATTGATTAAGATAAAATAATAAAAATGCATTTAAGTTTCATCAGTGTTTCCAGGAAGTAATATATTGCGTTGTACATTTTTATACATGTGTATTTTTTTCTGGCAGTTGCATGACATTTTTATCTTGAACATCCCTTCAACCAATAATGGAATGAACTAGATTGATTAATCAGTTTGTTCCTTATTGTATACACGGGGATGGAATTGTTATTTCAATTTGCTTAAATTTGGTGTGGAATTATATATCTTGAGCTGCAGCCTTATAATCATATGTCAGTGTACATATATTCACTACTTGTGTTAACTATATAAGGTCCCAAGAGGTGACCTGACAACTGTGATGTTTAAAATTTAGTCAGTCATTGAATGTTTTTAGTTTCTCATACACGATTTTGTTGATTATACAAACTTATCATACTGTAACATTTTCATTTAATTAATCTATTTTTTGAAGCTGTTCATTTAAATAGTAAAATGTGATGTTTGGTTAATTAAAATTTTATATTGTCCCACGTATCAGATAATAATTCTAGTTTAAATCTTTAATTTGAGATATCCATTCCTCATCAATGTAGCTATATATTAACACAAAATGTATTTCAATTGCACATTTTATGAAGAAATATTTGATGAAAATCCCATCCCATGTATAGTTTTCAATTCATATATTTTAAGTCTCTCACATAAGTCATTCGAATACTGCCAGATGCTTAAATTACCTTTATTTTACATTTTTAGGATCTCAAAGATTTGTTTAATAATGATTTTTTTTTGTGTATTGATAGTTTTCCTGTCACATGCTTCCTTACCACAGGGAATGAACACATTGATACAATCTTAGAAATAGGTCATATAAATATAACGTGTCAAACCTCTGTGTCCTTCACAACAGGACACACACACAGGGGCTTTGCACATGAGATAGTATTATAGTATTTTTACCTATACAGCATGCAGTTGTTTGTATGCTGACATACTCTATACAGAAAGTATATTACTGATTTATCTGTTAATAAGCCCTTGGGTTCAGAGTCTGAAATCAGATCAACTGTGGTAGGTGGGCTTATTACTGTATTAATAACTGAACCAATTTTTTTTTACCCTCCACCAAGATAAAAATTTTTTAAAGCTATATGAATTACAGAAATTGAGTAGATCTGATCAAACAGACCACAAGGAATCATTTACAGCTCAGAAATACAAAATAAGTTTTTGTCTGTTTACACAGGGGTCTGAGTCATTCACTGTTGGAATATATAGTATCTGTGTGTAGTACATACATTTATTATTATAATATTCTTGTCTGGTCCCTGTGCTTACTCTCTTACCTCAGAATATAGTTGTGTTCATATATGGTCAAAGATCTACGTGTAGGCATCATTATCAGGTCAAAGGTCAAGAGCAAAATGCTGATTTTGTCTTGAACTCAATTACACATGGGTTGAGAGAAAAACGCTTTCTTCATTGTAAGGTCAAAGTTCAAGTCATAAATTGAAGGTTTCTTTGAAGATGATAAATTTTGTGGCTATGTTCTGTGAATCTTTACAGTATACATTCTTGCAAGTTGTTGCTTAATAATTGATATGGATAAATTATTATTAATAAAATTTATCATGATGTTGTGTTTTCTGTTGTCTTTTATATTGCAATGCTTAGAAAAAGCAAAACTTGAATTTTTGTGATAGGAATTGAAAATAATTGTTTTATATTTCAAAGATAATTCTAAAGTAGGTTTTCTTCAAATTTAAAGGTTTCTTTCCTTTGCACCATTGAATTATGCTTCAGTAAGAGAAAAGTGGTGTTTTCCAGGACTTTACTTCAGACAAAAACCACCAGGCAGTCATTATGATGATAGCCTATACTAACCTGATTTTACAACCATGAAATATGTGTGATTCACACTTGGTCATGTTAGTGTATACATTTCATCTTGTATTATCTGCAAAGTTACAGAACATTCAATTTAATCGTGATAAACTGAAGATGTAGAGAAAGCAAAAGTGTGTAAAACTGGAACACTTGTATTTTGAAGATGTGTATTTGGTTCAAATTCTGTTGGATGTGGGTTTTTTTATATTAATAGTGATTTGTGTAAATTATTCAGACAAAGCGAAGTAATTTTGAGTTTAAAATTACATTAGTAGAATGACGAGGAGAAATGCATTACCTGTGTTTATTAGCAGCTGTTCTATCCTAAATCCTGTAATAGTGATATGTCCCCTGATACAAAGTCGTCATTTTTATGTTGATCTTCAGGAAAAAATACTTGTGAATGATGGGAGCTGTTAGAAAATGTTTAACTAGAATCAGTAGCCAATGAAAAATTCAGGTAAAAAAAAAAAGAAAAAAGAAAAAAAAAAAAGAAGAAAAAAAAAGAGACTCTTTAATGCACTTAGATTGTAAATATAAAAGTTGTTTCAACTCAGACAGAAAATTGATTGAGACTTAACCCACCACCATGCATTTAAAGACTGGTTTAATCTCTCAAAAGATTTTATCTTAATGTTAGGCATATTGATTTACATTTTTGTAAGATGAACAATGATACCGCTCATATTTTAGCATGAGTACTGTTATAAGTAGCTCAAGATCCTCACTTATATTCACTACGTTTTAGAAAAAAAATCTAAAAGGGACTTCATTTTGTTATCATAAATCTCAGTGGTAGGTATATACCAATGATGGTTTAATAGATCTACATACATTAGGTAAATATGTATGAAATGTTCAAACCTATTTGTAATGTGCAATACTTTGAAAGATAGGGGAGTTGAACTGGAACCCATTAATGGCATTTTGAAGTTATTAAAATACTGAACAATGAAAATAATTTTAATAACGGCTTTAAATGTACAATGTTCCCATCTAATGTGTGTATTGTCTCGGGGACTGCCGACAAGGTAGATCGGCTGTGTCACACCTTTACAAATTAACTCATATCGATGAAATGAAGCAGTTATTTTCTTTGTTATACTACAGTAATCAACCCACAGATAGTCTTTTGAGTTGGGATAAAGGGTAATTGTTCTAACATATGAGACAAATTAATATAAAAACGGCGTCAAAATCACGATACCGGTCTTTTGACGCTCAGACATTTAAATCGCCCTCCATCGGTCCTATATCCATAACGCTAAGTGTTACTGTTTACACTGTCCACAATCTATAGCTGTTTACACGGACATATCTCACTGATTGTTAGTTATATCGATCAACAGTACATAAATTCAGTAAATATTGTCAGATTATATCTTAAGAGGACCGAATACACAGGATAAACATTGCTAATACTACTGTATAGTCTACTTTCGATTTGGAGCTTCCGCCAATGTGAGAATGACCAATGGAAACAATCGAAAGGCGTCATTGACAACGATCCTTAACAACGTTTGCCACGCGCGAGGACTTACGCGCCAGTAAAAAAAGATGTCTGTGAAAAGTAAGTTATTGGTTTCAATTGAAACTAACATAACTTTAATCTATTGATAATCAAAAGGAGTACACAAATTATTTATGTTTCAGGCGAAGGATACACTCGGATTGGTAGCTTGTCACTTGCGAAGCGGGCGCCTCCCGAGTTTCAAGAGGACAGGTAAGGTTACCTATCTGCTATTGTATTCGCTCACAATAAGTAAATCTATACCAAGTGTTTGTAATTACCGCTTCACACCAAGGACAGTCTTTTCATGGTATACTCGACATAATTGTCTTTGATGATTGTTGAAATGTCATTTTAAATTTTAATTTATCTTTATCATGAAAAAGAAATACAGTTACGAGTCGTATGTTCTCCCCAGTTACCGTATCACATGTAATAAACGCCTTGCTGTTGTAGATATAACTATTTTACGGTGCAAACTTCATGATGTGCAATAATTGTTATATGTAGAATTTTCATCATTAAAATTAGCTATTTCACTTTCATTTTCAAAGGGGAACATTTTGATTTGTAAATATGTACCTCCATCTGATGACAGGAATAAGGCATTCGATAAGGCCTCTATGAAATGTAGTTATACCACTTAGATAACAGAAATCATTTCACATTTTTACCGATAACATAGTTGCTAAACGTTGGAATAATTTGTAATTACAGAAATAGATTTGTAAATATGGTATAAATGCTGTTTTTTTTTCTTGAAAAAGGCTGATATCTTAGAACGATAGAACGTTAGAAAAATTCAGTGTATATCTACTGAATACTCAAACAAAATCATTTAGCAGACAGATCATTTAGATTAAACTTTCAGGACTAGACTATTTCTTCATTAATAAAATGTTGAAATTTCGTAAAGTCAACTAAAATCCTTTCACATATCCATATAAATTATATACATTTATCTCATACACAAATTCTGACATGTGTGGATGTAATTATGACATGAGATGTGTAATTGTCATTAAGATGTGTGTCATTATGACTTTTTGTGAATGTCATTATGACTTTTTGTGAATGTCATTATGACTTTTGTGAATGTTGTTATTATATGTGGGTGACATTACGGGGTGTGAATGTCATTATGACTTGTGTGAATGTTGTTATGACTTTTGTGAAGTTTCAAAGATAAGTCAGTAGAAACAAGAGGTACATACTTGTAACAATATATATAACCCCAGCCACTTGTCAATACCAGCAGATAATGTATTAAGTTCTATTGATTTTTGACAAAAATCCATAGCAAAGCAAAAGACACTATTTTTCCAGAGTTGTAAATCTAAAGTGTATTGTACATATCATACAATTTTCTTTTAAAACATAATTTACTGTAAATATTCAAATTTTTTATTATCAAAATGCGAGAAAAAAAATTTACTGGTATAACAAGACATTCACAAAGTGATTGAAACTGCCAAAATACTGTGAAATATCACAAAGATTATGTCTGTAGGTCTGCATTTAGGTCAAATTACCTGTATTAATTTGAAGAGTTTTGGAGAAAATGACTGACAACTTGGTTATTAAGACTTTTGGTATGTTATATAGTCTCTGATGGCAGTACATAGACACAGGCAGTATTGTTGATATGGGAGATTTTAAGCTGATTTCTCTGTATCTGATCAACATCACAAATTATTAGTCAATCAAATATATGATGAAACAATACTGGCACATGAACAAAAATGTAAACTGCAATTAAAATGGAGTTAGATTTGTTGGTTTGTGGAAATTACTGAAAGTCCTACTGCCCAGCCAGAAGACAATTCATCTGCCATAATTAGATACAAATGATTAAATATTTGTTGTTGTAGGCGATCGGTGTACTGGGTTGACAGACTTCCTCCAACGCCACAGAGGGAAGGAAAGACAACAGAATTTGGTGAGCAGTAGATTTGTTTGAAAAATACTTGCATAGTACAGTTGTCATGTCAACAAAATTTTATTTTCAGTGACAAAACTTTGCAATAGGAAGTCACGTAAAATATATAAAAAAAATCTGCCACCAATCTAAGTTCCGAATTGACCATGAAAAACATCAAGTATATCAAATTGAAAATTGATGAAACAGTGTTTTCTCATGAGGGAGAACCAGAGAAATTATTTGAATATTTACAATAGTTGTGCTACAGGAGTCTTAACTCTAGATTTATCTAACATATTGTATCCACAGTCGTTTTCATTGTGGTGTCATAGAAATACTTTTGAAGAAGATCAAATTTATACTCTCGTAAGTCTCCTTAAATTTTTTTCATTGTAGACAAATACGGTACCAACACGTCTATTATTAATATATACTGTTGTGTTGGGGCTAATGTTTACTGATTTAATCAACTGTTGATCGTTGTTGAAGTTTCGACAGCAGGTCTTGGAATATTGGACTGATTCCTAATGCTGCTTGTTGATAGGGCAGGAGAGCAAATTTGATCAGTTTATAGAGCTCAATAATACATTTGAGATAGGTTTGCCCCAGTATCCTTTGTATAACTTTTATACATGTATCAGAGACAAAGAAAATTCTGCATTCAAAATTTTTGAAAAGAAATGATTTAGTTCTTAAAGAAAGAAAAATAGTGATTTATCAATGAAATGTTATACAGATTGAGATCAATTTCATAGCATCTGGATTTCTGAAGATAATTTAATCAAACTGTTGTTATAAGTAGACTTTGCCTCATACAATTGTTATTCATCGGTAGATGGAGACAGTCATAACATTAAACCCTGACTCAAACCAACATTGTAAGGAAGGCAACATTACAGTGATGTCCACTGCCATTGTTAGCTTAACTTTGTATTATTGTAAACGTATAATTCAGATTTTTTTCCTGTTAAAAATTAATTTAACAATATTTTATAAAACAGCAGGTTTTAATTGGGAAAATATAGATCAAAGACAACAACAAGAATAAAAAGAAATATGATGCTAAATTGTTCAATCTATAGGTATTTAAAGAGTAAGTTTGTAAGCTGACAGAACATAACAGTGAAGTTGACTAGGTCACCTGTCCATTAGAGGACGGTTGTGTGAGAGGTGGTAAAGGTTGTCAGGAGAGAAGAATTGAAAACTTGTGTAATTAAAAGTTAAGGACCACAGGAAAACTGCCTGAATATTTTCATTGTGTGTACTAAGTCATTTCAATTTGTTCTTGAACATAGTGAGGTAGATTTTCTTCAATTTTGATGATCATTTTTCCTGTAGTGTATATCTTTACTTTTAAAGATGTGATGAAAATTTGATTAACATATATCTCAGAAATAGGAAATTATTGGTAAATATATGTTGCACAGTTACAATAACGAAAATATTGTGTTTTTGGTTTGTGATTTTGTCTACATAAAACAAACAAGATTTTAGTACCCTAGGGATGTGTATGTATTGTATGTCTCTGTGTTGCTACAATGTTCCCTCATCTTGAATCATATTTTTCGCTGTTTGAATTTTTATTGATGAGAAATTTTTTACAGAAGGAAATATTGATGCTCATCAAACTTGAATGTTAATAACTATAAAAAAAAAAAAAAAAAATTAAAGAAAACAAACAAAACTAAAAAAAAAAAGAAATACGAAAATGAACAAAAAGCAAAAACTTGATTTTTTATATATCTTTTCATCATCTACACTTAACTAAACTGATGAATTAGATATGATGCCTTATCTTGTTTTAAGATGTCAGGAATCTATCTGTTATACTTGATTATACCCATGATTCAGTATTCTTTTGGCTCAACCTATATTCTTTATTTAATATTGGATTGATATCAGATCACATTTCATAAGTATGTATAAATAGTATCAAATGTCTTGTATATATACCCGGTAAGTCTCATCTGTTAACACATCAAGGGGCTCAAACAACACAAAATAACTAGCTATGATTTACCTTCAAGGGTACTGATCGTTTTTCATTGTTCGTTGTTAAATATTTGTCCGTGTCGTTACCGGCAGAAATCTACAAATATATGTAATAGTTAAATATTAAGTTTAGTTTAAGGTATTTGTTGAAATGTTTATTCTGTAAATATATATATACATTTTATATACATACCTGTGTATATATCTCCTAGTTGGGAACTGATATCCAATGAAATCTTGACAATCATGCCCTAATTGGAGTTCAATAATTTGACCTTTGAAAAGAAAACTGACTGAGTTAGATTTTGTTATATTCATTTACTGAAGAATTAGATTTTGATGATAAATGTAATTTATATCTGACTGTGATGATTTTTAAAATAGTTCTTACCAAATGACTTTATTTATGGAAAAAAGGGACAGGGGGAAGATTGGAGAAGAGGGGGATGGTAAGGGGAAGATTGGGGGAAGGGGGGGGGGTGAGGGTAAAATGGGGAAGTGAGGGGGTTGGAGATTCTAGTTAGACAGTTTGGCGTATAAATAACTGGAAGATTTATAAAACATCGACATGGAACTGTAGTACGGTTGATTAAATATTTCATAATTCCACCAGTTGGTATATAATTTACATATACCTGTTGTACTTAATTGACACTCTCACCAGGTAGTATACAGAAAAATAAAAAATACACAGTGAACAGTTATTTCTATTGAATTGCTGCACATTGTATCAATATTACATTCTACAATCAAATAAAGGCAGCATTCAGAATTACCACTGTACTGGAGAGAGTCGATGGCTCTTTTATATCCCTGCTTCAATCATTGCTTCTTAAAAAAAAACTCTAGATTCTATTTAGCATTGAATGATCTGCAAGATTTCATTAAAGTTTGCACAGACATTCTGTGACCTGTGTAAATAACACTGTTGCATATAGTTATATGTTTACATGAGGTGAAATCTAAGAATGATATGTGGTCTGTAAACTACCGTGGTTACCCTAAAGTAAGCCCAAGGGACCAGAATATAAATTTTGACTCAGAGAAGGGGATGAAATAGCATTAATTAATTAGCATTTTTACTGAATTGCTATACACATGGTGGACTATCACAAGACATGGACTTACTTTGAATTAACATAGGTATGTTTATTGGACCCAGGATCTGACACACCCCTCTCAAAGTTGGAATAGTGTAGACTTTAACAAGATGTAAGAGACTAATAGTACCAGAAGTATTCAGTAATCTATTCCTACATGTACATACCAAAAATCTTCATTTTCAAATTTTAATCCATTATAGAAATATTCCTTCCTTCCCAGAATGATTACAATGTAATCATCCTCCAAGGACAGAATAACAGGGGGATGCCGTTTTCACTTAAAGAGATTGACAATTGAAACATTTTTAAACTTGGAATCTATATCAGAGTTATTGTTGATATAAATAATATATATATATTTTTTTGTACATACATTGTTTTGTACCATAATTCATGATATTTCCCACATAACATCCAATTTGATAATGCCCCTAATTGTCTGCCATATCAAGCGTTATCTGTTCTTTACCTACCTGTATTACCTGGGGGACGTAAGACAAAGGTGTACAGGTGTAGATAGACATACATCTAGGTATATAAAAATCAATTGCCCAATCCCCTGTGGAGTTGTGAAGGATATTAATTTTTAATCACATCAGATCAATACCAGAGATATATATTGTCAAGTTACGGTCTTTTAAACAAGTGTGCATCACAGAATTAGTCGACTCAGAGAATAATGTGATATAGATGATTATCGATGAAAGCAGAACTGCTGTAAATGTCCTTAAAAGATGTAGTTCTTAAATGGAATATATTTAAAAGAGGTAGACATTAATGTACCATTTTTTCATTTTATTTTTGGGACCTTGTCTGGAAAGAGTGTGGTGACTTAAGTATTGGGAAATGATGTGTCTATATAATATTGGGAAAAGAGAAATGTCGTAATTTCAATAGATACATTTAAATAACCTTAATTGATTGAAAGTACTGGAAACCAGTTAAAATTGATGTGCCAGACATGCTATGGTGGAAAGGTTTAAAATCAATTTACTACCATAATTTATCTAATAAACCTCCAAAGCCGGTAATTTTGTAGAGAATTTTGAGTAATAACAAATAGTTATATCAGTAAAGAAATTAATGAATGTTAAAATAAATAAATATTGAAACCAGAAAACAATGGAGAAAGATATTAGGTATAATAAAGTGCCGAAAAAAGAACACTGTTCCTTTTTCTTTGATGCTGAATGTCATAAAAGAAATATGATCAGATCTTTTTCAAAATATGTCCTGTTTATTTCTGTGGAAGTTATCAATACCAGAACAAGTATTTTTCTCTGCTATAGACAGTATGTCAAATATTACATCGTAGATTAAAAACTTACACATACAATTCTGATTGGTTTGGCATTTTTGGTTTTATATCTAGATTTAGAGAAAGACAAATTTTATAACATGTAGTTAAGATTTTATTTATTCTAAAATTTTATTTTGACTTGAATTCAATCAATGTATTTTTCTTTCAGACGCTATATCTAATTTCTTTTTAACAACATAACATTTGTCAATTATTTAATGATATTCCGACACTAATTAAAACGATATTGTCTCTAATATAAATTCAGGGAAATAACAAACAGTTATGAAGATAATGACTACCCGCTCATCGTGTACGAGAGAAAAGTACTAATTATAATAACAGTCCTATTAAAATATCAACATTTCAATTTTATGCTATCAATAGAAAACGAGAAATATAAAAAAATCTAAATTTATTACAGACATGAAAGTTAAGATATTGAATTATATTCTATATAAACTTTGTAATTTCATTAAAAATGGAGAATAATCTTGTATATCTAAATAATGGATGATAATGCTATCAGTCGTGTCACATACTGATATTATAGATTTGGGGGACGGGACAGCTATTGTTGTGTAAAGGTGACTTGTAACTGTAATAGGTCTGCTAAGGTGGAT